GCTGGTTTATCGCCGTCGGTTGGGGCGGGGGGGGGGGGGGGAGATCATGTCATAATCTTGGCAAAAATGCCGGAAGACACTTAGTATAGCGCGCTATGCAGGCAGCTTGCGTGAGAGGGGTATGATGAAGGGCTCATATGAACAATTCGAGGCAAATATATAAGACGCCGGTAGACTTCTATAATGGTTTTTTTTTAAAAAAAAATATAATTATAGAAGCATTACATCTAGTAAAATTATGCGTTGACCGTACCCAGCCCAGAGAACCGCAATAACCACGAAATAAACCATGACGGTAAATTTCTGTGATAGATATAAATATGTAAGGACTCAGTCAAGAAGACAAACCACGTGATAATAGCGCCCTACAAAGGTCAAATGTGATAAGAAAGAAGAAAAAGGCTTAACCTTACCGCGATATCTTATAAACACAACTTAATCTCGTTTTTAAATAATCTATGAAGCATACGTCATTTTCACCCTCTTAGCAGTTGGATCCATCCAACCACATTCACGGAACGTAATAGTTAATCCGAAAGCAAAAAACATTAACATCAGACAGTCGCTATATATAGCTCAGGCGTATAGCAGTAGGTGCTCCGGAAAGAAACTCAAGACACACAAGCAATAGGTCTGTAATCTTTATCTCCTACAAGTCTATAGACATCAAAATCTCTCCATCTTCATCCGGTGGCGCAACCTCCTTAAATCCGAGTTTCTGATAAAATTTATATGGCGAATCTTCAGCCTTGACGTGCCTGAGCGGGTTCTCACTGCCTTTCCCCTCTGGCGGCGTTGACATCACTCCCAGCTTCTTTGCCTTGGGATTATGCCGTCTTATATGCGCAATCGCAAATTCCACGCCCCGTCGACCATACCCTAGATTCTGATATCGGCCATCAATCATAAAGCGCCAGATGTAGTACGCCTCGTCGGGGTCCCATATTGCCATCATTAGCATGCCAACAAGCGTCTCGTCAGCGTAGATGGCTCGTACCCATGCGTCTTCGGAGTAGCGGGCTTCGCAGAGAGACCATACGTTAGGGGCGAGGTTGCCTTTCTGGCCGACTTTGGGGCTGAGGTTTGCTACCGCGCGCCAGTTGTTCTCGGTGACTTCGCGAAAAGTGAGGGTTGAGTCCCTATTGGGGGGACTGCTAGGAGCAGCCTGCATAGTGCTTTGTAGAGGTAGCCTAGACGAGGCAATTAAGGGAACCACTACCAAGAAGAATACTAGATTCCAAGATATTTATATACTGCGAGATGTGCAGCCATGGCTTCTTCTATATTGTCGTTTGCAAGCTGTAAGCCTCACTTCATACGGAAAATGACTCAGCGTTTAGGCTGCTGCATGTAGGTCTGCCTCAAGTCCGTTTTTTGGCCCCCCCGGCCCATTCGAGCCATCCTATGACATCATAGTATGACTCAAGTGCATTGCAGATGCATCTAGGCGGACTAAGTTCGGCCCTATAAGGCTGTCTAGCGGATATACAGTGTGCTTGGCCTGTATTTCCCAGTCATAGCCTTGGACAATGGGGCCGAGAAGATGGACGAAACATCAATTCCGTTGCAGTCACGTTAGAGAAGTCAATGAAAGAGTCAAGGTAGAAGTGTCCTGAATTTGCGCGGCGTATTGCGTCCCGCGTACATGCTTTCCATTAATCTCGATGCACCCTGTCACCTTGGTGTGTGGTGCATCAAAGCACGCTGCTGAGAACTATCGTGCGGCTATTTACGAAGCTTAAAGCAGATGCAGGCGCATTCGATCGGTAGTCTCTGTCGTGTAGGAGTGCATTGCTCAGTATCATTCAGTGGTTATTGGTTCTATGATTAGGGTAAGTACTAATTTACAAGCAAGACACTTATTATCAGGTTAAGACAATGCTAGGAAATACTATTATTACTTGTACCCTATAACCAGCTGTAATACACACGCGCACTACATAGCAAAATTGAATGTGCTTTGTTATTTATACGGGGACTTTGGAGTCGAGACTTGTTTGATGCTTTGCCCAGACTGAAACTGCTCCGGTCCGTAAGCCGCCTTATTGTCCGGAAGCACCATGTCGTTGAAGACCCAATGGATGCCATCAGATTGTTTGTTACCACCACCACCATATTCCCAAGCTAGTCTTACGAGTTCCTTTGTCAATGATGAGGACCGTGGTGCATAATGCTTTAAGAGAATTAGGTAAGCATTAAGAGCGTCTTTTGGATTTACGCCGGGTTCAATGATCAGGGCAATTCTGCCCAATTCTGATAGTTCCTTTGCGGTGATTGTGCGCGCAGAAAGCATAGCTTCGCGAGTAAACGAGACGCCAAGTTCTCGGATCACATATTTTGATATGGTGGCCGGAGCGAGTCCAAGCCGTACCTCTGTAAGCCTGGTACGAGCCGTGGCGGCCATCAGACGAGTATCGCACGCAAACGCGAGCCCTACGCCACCACCAAAGCCGAACCTTGCACAAGAGCTACAGTAACTTGCGGCGCGTTGTCAATGGCTTCAAAAAGACGTGTCAAACGGGTGAATTGTGCGTCCGTCGTTGAACCACCTTTGGCAACTGGCGAGCTTCCTCTTCCTAGATCCATACCAGTGCAGAAATATTCGCCCTTGGCGGTTATTGCGATTCGTGTGATGGTTTGATCTGACTTTGTGGCTTAAAAAATCTTGGTGAGAACTGCTGCGAGCCCCCCGACCCGGCAGGCCGGAGACCGGGCCCACTGGCCGTGTCCGTGTCCGTGTCCGTGTCCGCGCCATCTCCGCACCGTGCCCTCAGAATGTTCCCGTCTGGTCAAAATAGCACGAGGGTCGCAATGCCCGCCATTGAAATTCCGAGCACGCCGCCATCATTAAAAAGGGCGTGAAACTGGTATCTGCCGTCAATTGCTCGACAGTGCCTCACATTTCCATCATACTCGGCGCATCATACGGTGCGGGCAATCATGCCATGTGCGGGCGACCTTATAAGCCTCGATTTCCTATCATCTGGCCCATTGGTCGCTGCAATGTCATGGGGCCCGACCAGTTGGCCGGCGTTATGCAAACGATTGAGGCGAATAGCGCCAAATCCAAGGGCAAAGAAGTAGACAGTGCGGCCGTGGAAAAGAGAACGCAGTCGCCTGAAAACAGCGTGTAGCGAGACAGCGAGAGTTATTAAACCAGCGCGGCTCTGCTCGACGACGGAGTCATTGACCCGCGTGATACTAGAGACGTTCTTGGAATATGCTTGGAAGTGGTCAAGATCCCGGGTGCGGAAGGCGCGAGTGCTTATCGTGTCCTGGCGAGAATGTAATAGAGGTTAAATAGACAAGTTTATGAGTTTACAATTAACGCTACTATACACTCTATGAACGATGTACATGTTGGAAGAAATATGTAATGTTCTAGCAGCTACGGTGATAACTCGTAGGCGTCTACAATACCCTCTGGCTTAGTTGGAATTTCTCCAACAGTGCAAGACAAATCTATACCAACATGTGAGTTTAGTTATTCGCTTAGAAAAGGAAACTGTGCCGAACATATAGTGTTATATCATTCTATAGTTCTAAAAACGGCTCGCAACTCTATTTACTCAATCACAACGAAAGCTATACCCTCGTCAATAGCATCTCCCTCGCTAACCATAGGCTTAAACACACCCTCCACGGACGCAAAGATGTTGATTTCCATCTTCATGCTCTCCACCACCATTACCTTCTCGCTTGGTTGAACAGTTTGCGCAGCCTCTCTCAACACTGAGAGTATTTTGCATGGCATGGAAGCATTGATACGTCTCATTTTTTCGCTGGAAGTTCCCACCTCCTCTTCTCGGATGTTTTTAAAGTAGGAGAGAATGCTGAAACAAGTCGTATCGATCCATGTTCCCAATTGCCAGACGTGGCACATGACTTTTACTGCCTTTGCTGCTTGGCTACTTTTAAGTGTCGTGTCGATGAAATACGACGCCAATAGAGGCGACGCAGATGCAATTTGGGAGGCACCTTGGGCATACGGAGACGATAAAAGAGAAGATAAATTATCAGGAATAAAAGAGGTGGTATAGGCCGGATTCGAAAACTTTTCGTGCAGCAAGAAACTTTGTAGGAATAATTGATTCGTCCCAACGCCAACGCAGCCTGTGTCCGCAAGAACCTGCATCATCTTGGCCCGGGCTAGTGATCGTGTCAGTTCCCAGACGACGATTTTGGCAATCATGGAGTCGAAGTGTGTGGAAATACGAGAACATGTATTGATAGCAATCTCAAATCTGACGGAGCTCGTGGCAGAAACTTGGTCATGGTTTCTAGCAGGCCTCCAGAGTCGGACGATGCCGTGCCCAGGGTAAAAGTCGCGTTGCGGACTCTCAGCGCATAGTCGACGCTCGATGGCATGGCCGACAGACTTTAATTGTTGAAGCGGTTCAAGTGTTGCCAAGTCGCCTCCGCTTGCAACAAACAGCTGCAAGGAGACAATATCAAGCCTGGTAACCTCCTCCTGGATGGGGTGTTCGATCTGCAGTCGCCCGCTTACCTCCAAGAAGTAGAAATTGCCAGTGGCAACGTCAAAGAAAAACTCAACAGTGCCTGCATTCTAGTAATTGAGGAGTCTGCCAGTTTTCACTGCCACGTCGCACATCTCTTTGCGCTTCGCATCGTCCAACCATGGCGATGGTGACTCCTCAATGACCTTTTGGTGTCGCATTTGCACGGAACAGTCGCGCTCCCCAAACGATATGACATTTCCATAGCTGTCTCCAATAAATTGAATCTCAATGTGCTTGCCTTCCTCCATGTACTTCTCCCGAATGCAGTCACCAGAGCCGAAATACCTGGCTGCGTCGGATCATGCAGTTTCCAGCTCTGTACGCAGTTGGGGACGTTCTTGTACGATGAGCATTCCTTTGCCATCGCCGCCTGCAGAGGCCTTGAGCATTACTGGATAGCCCATCTCATCCGCTAACCTTGCGAGCTCGACCAACTCCTGACTCTTCCCTGCAAACCCCGGGATGAGAGGAACCGACGGCTCATGTTCACGGAGATATGCCCTTGCAGATCTCTTGTCGCCCAGCGTCTCCATAGCACTTGAACTAGGCCCTACAAAGGTGATGCCTGCATTGCGGACGGCCGTTGCAAAGTCGGCATTCTCACTTGGGTACCCATACCCGGGGTGAATGGCATGGACTCTGTTCTCCACGGCAACACGGACAATCAGACCGATGTTCAAGTAAGGGCTTCCACCAGGTTGGTCTATCGAGCCGAGGCCGACAGATTCATTCGCTAATACGGTGTGCTGTGATGTATCATCTCTGGAGTTTGAAATTCTGTTAGCTACCTTGTGCAAACTGTCGGGCGTTACTCCATATAGTGCCGTGAGAATACGTAAGTTTCATAGCTACCCGGCTTGGTCAGAGTTTGTCTCGGCGGAGAATTTCTGTGTCGCGGGAGCATGTCTTCCATGCATCCTCAACATGGTAATGTCGATACTTGTTGCCAGTTTGAAGGCTCTTTGTGTCATACAAATGTCGGGATTCCTCGCTAAGATGAAGATTCAGCTCAGCCCGAAAAGGGGTACACGGATACAGAGCTTGGACGGGACTCTAGGAGATTTCATGTAGATAATTTCCGCGTTGGACCTAAGTTGGACAAGTAGTATCCGACGACTTTATGCTTCACCGTCTAGTCACTAGCTATCATGTGCGAAAGTGCCACGACGCTGCTTTGCAATGTGGCTGCTCACGAGATGCTACCCGGCGTGCTCTGTAGGTATGGGGGAATTTCTGGCCTTGCAGGGATGAAATCAGTGATAAGCTGAGCGGAAAGCTTTTTCTCTTGCCTGCAACTGTCATCAAGGCTACGGATTGGTGGTAATGAAGCGAGGTTGGATGGCCTTCTGTTCACCTAGCAGCCCGAGCTTCAGCTTTCCTCAACAACAGACCATGCGCATTGGGCGCCTTCTTCCAAATGTCAACGGTTCCTCCACAGCTAGTGGGACTTCTTCGGTGCCCTTTGTGCAATCCAGAGTCGCCCAACTGACCTAGTAGATGGATCGGGGGACCAAGATACGGACGGACTTGGCAACGACCATGGCGCTGAAGAGATTCACGATAGCGACGAGGCGGCAGCGATGAAAGAAAATCTGACGCTGAGTACGCACCGGAAGAATACCCCAATACTGGGAATCAAAGTTTGAGCATTGAGAAAAGAGATGATGCACAAGTAAAGAGGGAAATGGATGAAGACTGTAGAATAGAACCCGGGGTATCCTGGCAAGCTGGATCAACCAGAAGTCAATGGAAACTACCCACACGCCTCTACCTGGGAGTGTGATAAATTGCACATAGCTCCATCTTTCAAACCACTACGAGAATAGTCGTGCTTATGCGTGCCCATCTTCTTCTGTGTGATTTCCCTCGAGGTCTGTCTGTCAAGCTTACCCACGCTACATAGCTCTTCCCACGGATAATTCTGCTGGATAGCACACATATCGAATGCCATGTCTCGCATGCCAAACGAGGCTGTCCTTCAGTCTCTCCGAGGCGAGTTAAAAGGCAACATCTTCCGAAACGTTGATGGTTTCTATGCCAAGTACTTCGACCCGAAGCCCTGGACCGCAGTAATCCGGAACAAATGGGTAGAACCAAAGTCTGCCGACATCCTGAGCAAGTTGTCTGCCAGTGTCCGTGGCGTTGCTGACTTGGACGCGCTGGTGGAATGACTTGCCCAATTTCAGACCCGATTTCCGGCGTCGACCAAGCCAACTTGCGCTTCCACAGCCAGCGGCTCCTCAACCCGGATGGCACGTCTTTAAGCCTAACCCTTGAGACATCCCATGTCCAGTCCGTTGCAGGCAGCACCCGAGTGTTTGGCGAATTCCATGATGACAGCGCCCCCGTCATGGCTGATGACGATGACGACGACATTCTGCGCTTCTGCGAGCGAGCACAGCAGGTGTTCAAGACCCAGTCGGCTCGACGCTTAGTACACGGCTTCCTGGTCCGTGGTACGACGCTGGAGCCCTGGGTTTTTGATCGGTCGGGCGCCTATAGTGGTGAGAGGGTCGACCTGGCACGGAAACCCGAAGCGTCGGTGCGCATGTTGACCAGCTACACCCTGATGAGTGATGAGGAAGCTGGCTTCAACACCTTTATAAAGCGCCTTGCCCTTGGATCGAATAGCTACGTCACATTTCATCAGCGCGACAAGTTCCACCTCCGGCCAGAGTGGGTTGCAACGGCCGACTACATAGTCGGGCCCGGAACGACCTTGCGGCCTCGACATCGACAGTCGGGGAACCAGACACTGTCATCAAGTTTTCCTGGCGAGAGGATGAAGAGCCCACCGAAGTCCGCCTGCTAGAGCTGGCGCGTCATACAGCTCCTAGGTTATCGGGACCTGGTAAACATCGCCGACCTTCGCCAGGAGATGGGCTTTTCCTCAACCGTTTGCCAACCGGACACTATCGTGCGTCGCAACCACCCCTTTGGGGCGTCCAATCCGACAGTTCACGTCCATTCCGGAGCTGTTGGAAGTCTTGCGCGACCTTGTCAAGGCTCTTCAATCTCTCTACCTAAAGGCGAGGATTCTCCATCGCGACGTCGCCATCAAGAATTTGATCATCGCTCCGCAGCACAGCGCGGACAGCCCCAAGGGCATCTTGCTCGATTTCAACTACGCGCTGGATCTCGACAACGTCCGTCCTATTGAGCCAATGGTTGGATCAGATGGGTTCGTGGCCATTGGTATTCTCTGCGGGCAACGGCATACATATCGGCACGCCTTGGAATCCCTGTTTTACGTATTTCTATGGATCGCTATTGCCAACGATCGCGTGCACGACGAGGCGAATGATATACTGCAAGACATGCCGAAGACATGGCGACTCTGGAAATGGTGTAGCATGGACTTTGGTGCAGTCGGGCGGGACAAGGCCGCCAACATGAGCCCTGAGGGCTTTGAAGGAATTCTGGACGAGTTTCCCCCGACTTTGTTCCTCTCCGAGGTCTGGCCAGGGAACTGCACGCGCTGATATTCCCTGTGCGTGATGGGAAGATTTTCACGGGTACTGACACGGACCAGGTGGCTGTTCAGAGACTCTATGATATGATGGGATGGCGGATGCTTTCAAGCAGAATGCCCTGGCATTCCAGGGGTAGGAAGTCTCGACTACTTGCCAGGGCGCCATCGGTTGCAGTTAGATTACTAGGCCGCTGTGATACAAAGAGGTGTGATGGACAAACCAATTTGACATAAGAACGTTTTCAGACGAGCATTGATTTGCCCCAGATCTGTGCCCTTCTCCAGACATTCAGATTCTACGGCCACCTCGGCCTCCACAAGTACATAAAAGCACACATTGAGGGCTTCTGTGGCGGGGTAGTTCTAATCCGTGAAGGCAACCTCATATCGCCAGCCATTCTTGTCCTCTGCCAGACCTTTCAGCATCGCCGTCAAGGCACTGGCTAGCTCGACCGCCGCGGGGCCAGCATCACCGGTTGGGCAATACTCGAACCTGTCGCTCAAGCTCTCCCTCACAATGGCAGAAATCGGAAGCACTCCCGCTAAAAGCTACGTCAGTGTTCATCATGGCTGAGAAGAAGAGCGTCATGGTGTTTCCACGACGTACCTGCAGTCCCCAATGCAAGAACCTCGTCAAACTGCCCGAGTTCCGTGTATTTGACTGTCCTCCGCTCCACCTTGTAGCCCAATTCCTTGGCGAGGGCCAATACACTGTCGCTGGTTACGCTGTCAATGATTTGTGTGCTATTTGGGACTACGAGAGTGCCCTTGGCGCACCCGTCGTCCCGGCCTTCCACCCCTTTCAAGACACCCACAAACCCGCTTGTGCTGAATTCTTCTATCTCGCTTTGTGTCTCGCTGTCCAGGTGCAGCGTGATGGGGAACCCTTTTTGTTTGGCCTCCTGGCTGTACTTGATGACGGGCGCATAATTGCCACCAATCTTGGCATAGCCGGTGCCGCGCGTGGCCGCCCGATCAAAATTGTCAAGAACGAGGCATGGCACCGGCCGCACGCCGTGGTACGTCGTCGCAGGCTGAACGTATATGGCCAGAGTACACGTTGGGGACGGCTCCAGTGCCAATTGGGGTGCGGAAGCGAAGATGACAGGTCGAAGATAGAGGACGGCAGCAGAATCGCCAGGGCCAACAAACTCGGCGTTGGCACGAACAGCCAGGGAGATGCTGCTGAGGAAGATGTCTTCGGGGACGGCGGGCAAGCACACAGCTGCGCTCGACTGCACCAAACGCCGGTGGTGAAAGGTTGGGCGGAAGATGGTGATGGTATCTTCTGCGCTACGGCTTGCTTTGAGGCCTTCATAGGCTTGCATGCCGTAGTTGAGCGCGGGAGACAGGCCATGCACGCGCAGATAGGGGTCCTTGACAAAGGTTGGCGCCGTCCAAGTATTGTTTTCCGAAGACCAGGTGGTTTCTACGTGGCCGTTGACAATATCAGCAACGGTCAGGCTCAGGCGGGCCCAGTCGATATTGGACAGTGGTGCAGGTGGCGGCGGCATGGTGGATGTCAGATTGCTGTGATGTCGGATGGTTTGCGACAATTCTGACTATTGCTTGATCTATATATCCTAATGAAACGGTCCAATGGCTAGGAGGTAGACGCCACGCAGACCAGCAGCCTTCATTTGTGCCCGGCTTGACCTCATTCTTGCTTTGAGTGGGAACCCCCTGTGCCATATTGTTGCACATCACTTCAATTTCCGTAATCCGGGGGCAGCAAGCAGGTCTGATTTGGCTGCCCGAGCCGACGGACATGTGGTCAAGATTTCTGCAAGATCATGGCAACGCCGACCCCAGACATCATCAAGCTACGGAGTACGCTGGTGGTGTATGGAGCGCAGAGTATGGAGTGCAGAGTACGGAGTAAGGTCAGCTCACCTTGCAAGGACCAAATGCAATGTAAGCACTAGATCTACTCCGTAAGGCGTGTCTGTAAGCGCGAGAAGCGGTTTTTGTCTGTAGATTTGCGGCAGGATCCGACAAGGGGTCCCGGGTATCACTTCGTAAGCGCCCACTCAAGTCAAGCATATGTAACAACAGGGATGGCTGACGTCCCCTGTACAATGCAGCTAGCCCCTGCCATGAATAATTCCCGTAAGATGGCCCTTGATAGCGTGCAAGGCATAGAGCTGTGCCTCGTTCCCAGCCCGCAGCCGTGTTGAACTCGGTCTTTTGATTATTCTAGGTGACTCTGAAGTACAGTAGAAGGCTTAATGCGTCTGGTGACATAAGATCAATAGCAAGACGCCAGGCACCACTAGTGTACAAGTACCAGTACATAGTTCTAGCTTCAAACCCCATATGTACCTCCAAGTCTTTCCACAGGACGCAACAGACGATTTTCGCTGGTAGGTAATGCCCACACGGGTGACGAAAATCCTTCCGAAATCTATTATAAAGTCCCATCACCTCCGTATATTTCTTCCATTTTCAGAGCAGCATAGCCCACTCCAGAGCTCCCAAGTGAATAACGGTCGACATGTGCACATGTGCGCCTGCCCGGGTTCCTTGTAATGATGGTGGTTCAGTAGGTTCCGCACTCTGTTCAACGGATTCAATTCACCACGAAATGAATGACCAGATGCTTCAAAATAATGTGACATCAAACCCTGAGAAAGAAGGACTCTAGACGAGCTCCTGCAAGTTCGGGCGTCGTAGAACTAGCAGTACATCGCCCTGAGGATCGGGTTCGCAAAGAAATTTCTGCATGTTTCAGTTAGGCCTCCAGCCAAAGAGAAAGTAGCAGGACAAGAAGTTTTACGGGATAATGCCTCTATAGCTGAATCTCGCAAATGTTCAAAAGATGAAAACCTCAGCACGCGCGAAAGCCATCGTGTCAAAAGTTCATTGGCCAATCTGCAGCATGTCACCACCGTCGATCCGACGTCTTCGTTGAGTTGCATACATGAATATTTGGACTTGGCACCGTTTGCCCGTGGGCCACAACGGGCTTGCCTTCCACCTCAATCGGTCACGTCGAGTACAATATTCGAAATGTTTGGAACGCACATGTACCTCCAGGTTCTTCCCAAGCATTGCTACAGAGCTTGAACATGACGATTTTCGCCGGCGGCTGCACGCCCCGACGTCTTCAAGTTCCAGGGTATTCATATGGATGTAGAGGAGCGACGGCGGCAGATGCGAGAAGAGACGGAAGAGCGGCGATCCAGGACAAGTCCGTCACCTAATGACTCATTTTTTAGTACTGGTCACCGCATGGGAGCATGGAACTGGGGACGACTATGAATTACTCACCTTCGTTGGTGTCTACGCCACCCTGTGCTTTTACTTCACAAGTCTTTGTGCTAATCGGGCTGCAACTGTAGACTCAGATTTATGAGTGTCACTCGACAGCATATCTGATTCTGCTTTAAAAGTCATAACCGAGTATTTGTCGCTGATGAATTGAACGATTGGTGCGTTTTCTGAACCTTTAACTTTTGATTCCCTCGCCTGGCAGCCAGCCTAATGTAAAGGACTAAAGGGCAAGAAAATGCAACCGGAATTAGTCTTCACCTACACGTGGCCGAGAATTTCGGCGTGGTAAGCGCACTAACCATGTAAGTTTGGCTCCTGGGTATATGGTTTTGCGTTTATTCTTAAGCAAAGGTGATCATGGCCTTCTTTGTCCACTTTGCGCCTCAACCGATCATGCATCTAGATATACATGCACGTGCCAACTAACTGTCATTGTCGACTATACCGTCATGAAATGGATTCGGGCTAAAATCGAACTCATCGATCTATATCTGGTATGGTAAAATTAGCCTTTATTTTGGGTCTAGAGAGATATCGAAATAACGTGCAAAACGGCCAAGTACTGGTGTCTATGTACTGAAGCCAACCAGCCAGTTGTCCATCTTTAACTGCACCAAGCGGCCAAGATGAGTAGATCCATCAGCTCGTACGGTCTGCTCTTCCCAATCCTGCAGTACTCTGTCGATATAGCGGCCCGCCGCAGAAATGAAGTATGTGGGCGATAGCGCGATGAATGGCAAGGAGCCGCGGAGATGGTGGCTCTATAGTTCGATTCTCCGTGAGGAAGAGCGTACGTGTAATAGGCAGAAAGCTATGGAACATGGCAGGAAGGAACGTACGGATTCGGTAGGTATTTGACGTGCCGGTAGGCTCCAAGTATTTCTGGAAATCGCCAAAATCCTGGTGCAGATAGGGGGTCAATGTCGGGGCATTTCGTGGTCTGTCAATGTCAGGGCCCTCAATTAGATGTGCGACGTCGTTGTCAAACATATTGAGGATCTGTAAAGCTGCTTCTCCAGAAGCCTCCCAGTGAAAATTAGCCTCATGCATCATCATATCAGACTGGGGACCGTACAAGCTTAGAATCCGAGTTGGTCTTCGCTAAAGAGTGTGTTAGGATATGGGCAACTTCTAAGAAGTCAAATGATTCTCCCATAAGCGGTTGCCCATCGTCGTCCTGTACCTAACCACCAAGCGCCCGCATACATTCTACAGCCTTTCTTCGGTCGAAGGTACGTGAAATCACGCATCGATGCTTATCACGTAGCAGGCAGTTACCTCGGAGAGCCGACAATCGGCCTGAGGTCCCCACAAACGACTGGCCTCCGGCTCGAGTGCGCTGGGTCGCGGAGTGGTATGCCGGGGACGGCTGAGGAGTTTGCTTGTTCGAAGCTTTTACTGCTAGGCATCAATATTGGGATTCGGTGATGCGTGGGAGGCGTGGGAAGCGTGGCTTACAGGGAAGGCAGGCCCGAAAGGGCACACTTGTAAGCTAGATATCGGGGATATTCGGCCGAGGCTCGATCTTTTTGCTCCATGACTGAACGGTCGAACCCGAGAAATATCAGCAGAAGTGGGCATTCATACACATGCAGGATATCCTGGTCTTTCGACTCGATCAAAGTGTCTAGCTGCAACTTCTCTAGGTAGTGCCATGTATTTCCGCAACCCAGTGTGTCATGAATATCTCTTGTTCCGTCGATAGCGCGCATGTGCCCCATGATGATCGTTGCAGCATAATGTCTGGCTGTGTGCACAATGGTTATACCAAAACATTGCGTGTGCTGGACAAGACCATGAAAGACAGCTTAGATGAGGTCTTGCGTAAAAAAAACTGGATGACTGACTCATTGCATTGCAGTTAAGTACTAATGTAACCTTTGCTTTCTAATTCCGTACAGATTTCTACCATGTATTCGCAATATTTGCATGTTATCAAATAGATTCCCGGCTCCTAACAACTCCAGTTGACCTTTGTTTGTGTTTCCCTCCTGACCAAGCTTGTTTCGCCTGATCAAGTTCTATCATTGAATGCTTCTCCCTTGTGCTTCCCTCGCGTCGTTCACCTAAAGATCTTTACTTAAGCGTCCCCCAAGCCCCTTTGAAGCAAAACCCCGGGTGAAATATTGTCAAGGCAATTGCAGCAATCATGATCATCGGACCTTCAAAAATCATGAACAGAACCTCGTCATTTGCCAATTTTCCGGCGAAACCTTCCTGCAACTCTGCCAAGCGGTAGACACATCGAATGAATATTGCTATCGTGGCGATTCCGGTCGCTGTACCTGTCAGTTACTGCTTCACACAGCCCGACAAGAGCTTTGACTCACCCCACGGAAACGCCTTGAACATTGTTGACGTTTTCAGTTTTAAATCTTTCTGTTCGTAAACCCCATTTGTGCCTCTTAATCTCCACCAAAAGTCCGCTGAAAGGACGATAAATGTCAAGAGACTGGCCACCTGGAACGACAAACCGGCGATCATGATATTGACGCCCGTCTGTTTCAGACTGGCATCGCCGTCGCTGGCAGCAAATGCACCACCCGTCGCTTGTAGGACTAGACTGATGATGTCACATGTCACAAAGATTATCGTGTAGGTGCGAGGCGCAAAGCGAGCCAGGTATGCTCCGTGGGCTACAATGAGTCGCGAAAGGGATAGATAGATAGCTGCCGATAGGAAGGCAGGACCAATCGTCAGGCAGATGAGGTATCTGTTCCTACGTCAGCATAGCTCCTTGAGTCCTGACGTGGCTCAACAAGCAAAGCAGCATACATTAGAAAGGGATCCATCTTGAAAGGGTCATTGTGCATCTGTACACGTCCTACATATCCTATGACCTCGAGCACCAGGCCAAGCGCCATGGAGATGGAGAACCCCCATGTTCGGTATATGATTCCAAGAACAGACTGGGCAAATAGCACAGCGGCAAAGATGATCAAGTAGGCGAGGTTGCCGTTTTCAGTGGGCTGATACTGGACTTGTGCGTAGGAAAGTGAGCAAGTGTCGATTCTACACTGGGAGTACGGAATGATGGTGCCGTTGAGGCTAGGGACCATGAGCGTGCCCGAGGAGTCGGTAGAAGTAGACATGACAAATAGTAGCGTAGAATCGAAAATTGTTGGAAATGATGCGTGAAAGGTGGAATAGTAGAAAGTTGTCCTGTTTTTTTTTCCTCAAAACAAGAACATGTTGGACAAGGCGTATCGGTTGGAGACGATGAGCCAGGGAGTAGGTAAGAGAACTTAAAAATGGTCGTAAGCCTGCTGAGGGAGAGAAGAGACGTGTGTAAACGTAACTGTACACGTAAATCCTTTCGTAAGCAGCGTAAGCAGCAGGGGATGAGCAACGCAAAAGACGACGAGGGCAGCGTGCTGTCAAGTTGTACGGATGACAGCGCATTAGTGGGTGTGGGAATGTTGATTCAGCCCAAAGAGGAAAACCTTGATCTTCTTATCCTGAACAAGATTAGGTGCCCGCTTTTTCAACCAACATTTGAATGCTTTAACTGCGGCTGAACAATGAAACCGCCAATACGCATACTAGACAAGTGCGAAGCGGCACATGATGGGGCCCAGCCGACTAGTACCGTCTTGGCTAGCCCCGCCTCAGCTGTCAGCTAAGCCCGCTGAGTGGGGTTCAGTCTGCGGCTCGTGCCGTGCGCGTGCTCCACTTTTCTCCTTCATTTGGCACTACCCCGTATCGACGTGACGTATTGCACGGGAGTCACTCGAGTGATTACGTCTTGCTAGACGAGGCCTGTCACAGGTATGGAGTAAGGTGTCTCTGTAGAATTCACTGGGCGTGTAAGGAAAATCCTAGTGTATTCATTCTCATCTGTGCTCGATCTGGTTCAGTCTAATTTCTCTCCTTTATATCCACACACACCCCCGTATGCATTTAAGTAGTATCCGGAAATATGCAAAGATGCCCCTGCTGCAATTCACTGTTTCACCACGACGCTCGACGCTTCTTCTTACCACGGTTTGAGGTGATGGCTATCGGATTCGGGTGCTTAGTGTAGAAGACTCGGCCGTGTGAGCAATTTTGCTTTTCTTGCAGTGGGTGAGATGCTAGCCTCTTTTCTAGACTAGCTTCGAGGCAGGGTGATGCGTACAGTTAACTACCCTGTAATACTTTTCGATAGCATACATTGGCCTTGAGCAAGAATAGCTAATAAATGAAAGCATACTTATTTACACGTCTTATAATATATAGGATATGGTCAAAATTACTAGAGATGAAATACATCGAATTGATTTGCCATGTACGAAGTACTTGGCTGAAAATAAAACTGCCCGCCTGTATACGGCATTAATGCATTGGTGACCAGCTGACGTCCGGCTTCATTACCCATGAGCGCCAACTGCGACGTTGGTTACTTGGCCTCACAAGTCGCGAGACTTGAAGCGAAGGAATGGTCCACTGTTACTTGCCCATTAGTGTTGGGCACTCATCACATTTATGAAACTTGGTACGAGGCCTGCATTTGGGTTCAACCTACTTCTTTGAGCCGGTGATATGATCTGCCAGCGGGAACTCGCCCGGGAGTCCCCAGCCTTTCAGGGAGTCATTCTCGCTCGTTAGAGCGAAGTCAAGCGTGTACATTGCGTAAGCAACTGTCAAGCTGAGTTCCATCATAGCCATTCCTTTGCCGACACAACTTCGAGTGCCAACAGAGAAAGGGCAAAAGGCTGCGCGAGCATCGTCTACGCTTGGTCCCATAGTGCTGCGTTCGCTACGCAGCCAGCGCTCAGGACGGTACTTGAAAGGGTCCGGGAAGTATTTTGCATTGTGATGGATGGCATAAATTGGCACACCAGCCTCCGTGCCTGCAGGCAGCAGCTGACCATCCACGGCGGCGTCGCCGGCCAGAATTTCCCGAGACAATGATGACCCTGCTGGCGGAGACATGCGCAGGGCTTCTTCAATGCACGCTCGGAGATAGGTGAGCTTGCCCAAGGTTGGTCCACTGCGAATCTCGTCGGATGAGGCAAAAGCCTGGCGCACTTCCTGCTGCAGGCGGCTGTAGGCACGAGGCGTGCTTGCGAGGTAGAAAAAGGTGGCTGCCAGAGCGGTAGAAGTCGTGTCGGCGCCGGCAACGCACAGAGTGGTACTCTCTGCCAGGATCTCTTTCATGGAGAGTGCATCGCCCGTGATGGGGTCACTTGCTGACTTCAGAGCTGAAACGACGGTGCGCGTCTGCAAGCTGCACTCGGTCCCCAAAACACGACGCACAAGACCACTGACAAAGTGTAGGAACTGGTTTCGTGCTGCGATGGCCTTGGGAAACAGAAATCGATCGATTCGACCGATGTGAATAATGACGGGGCTTTGCAATAAGACACTCATGCGCACGTTGGATTCTTCAATGGCTCTTGGGATGGCGCGATTCTGAGGCGATGCGAGCAAATCATAGCCTATGCCAAAAACGACGTCGCCCATGATATCAAATGTAAGCCAATTGAACCAATCCGACATGTTCATCGACTGTGTCCAGCCTTTCTGCCGTTCTTTCTCGGTAATTTGTGGCTGGACTTGGCTCACAAAATCCGCATCAGTGATCAACGCGAAACACTTTTTGATGTGCGCCAGTAATGTTGGTTCGTGAGAGCGCAGAGCAGCATCCGACAAGCCCTGAGAGACAATACGGCGCCGACGAGCATGCTCTTGTCTGTTCACCATGGTCAAAGTGTTTGCCGCACCGTGACGGAGAACGCGGTAGTTCGGGCTCTTCTGGAAATTCGTGTTGCCGGAGTAAATATCTTTGAGCGCACCAGTGGTGTTGAGATTCAGTCTGTTTGGGGCATATCGAACGCAAGGCCCTGTTGTGATTGTCAGTACAGTGCGTGGTTACTTTTTCCATGTGTCAAGGCGGACCGTAGCGTTCATGTTGCCTCCACATGTCAACGTGAATATCGCCCTTCCAGGCATGGTAGGCAGCGTACAGGTCGGTGACTCTGGCCAGGAATGGTCCAGGATATTTCGAAAGAGGGTGGAAGTACAAGCGTCGAATGCATAACACTGTCATCTGGTCAGTGTTAGTATTTTTTGTGCCTGTTCAGGTTATCAAGAGTCTCCTACCGAGGCGATGACCACCACAAGGAGTACAGATGCCAACAGGAGCAAGATCTGCATGTTTGTCATGATCATTCTCAAGATCTTTGCACTTTTAGCGTGGTGCGTGTTAGGAACAGTATATGGTTTTGGGTATCAAGCTTGACAGGCTACCAGGGCACGGCAAGTCAGTGAATTTAGACTTAGATTTATCCAACACCCTAAACATAAACCCTCCGGACATTTAGGCTTGTATAAGCCACAAAATCATTGACCATATGCTTCTATCTGAGCAAAAATATCGAGACCGTCCGAGGAACGAAATAGAAAACTTGTCCTTGGCATGCACGTTGAGAATGTTGGGGCCTGACATATACTTCCCTTTCTGGTAATATTAAAAACCGGACCGTAAGCTCACGCCCTGACCCTTGTTATTTGATAAGCCCGTCACGAGTAAGACTCTGCTCCCACTCCTCACACCTCAACTGGCGTGTAATATCTGTGGGGCATTGGCCTAATAGCTTTCATTATAACGCGACGCCTAGTCATAAGCGTCTGTCAAGTCATCCCTGACAAGGAGATTGACCTAGTGCATCAGCAGTTCCCTGTAGTGTAAGCGCAAGTGAATCGGGTTTCTTTCGAATCAGGCCAAAATTAGCTCAACACCTGCTCAAGAAGCAATAGCAAAAAAGTTCTCCATATTTACAACCCTTGGTTGGTGCGAAAGACGTTGTCCGGGGTATACTTGGTCGATTGAGACATCGCCTGAACAGTGGCAGTATAATTACAAATTTACTGGATCATCGTCTTCCAGTTCTGCAGCTCAAACTCCACTGTTAGAATGTATCCAGCGGTTTCTGCCTCAGAGGCAGCGCTTCAGAAAGACAATGAAGTTGCCTGCACGCTTCTCATTGAGCTTCTGGCTCATCAATTTTGTTATCCCGTTCAATGGATCAAGACTCAAGATCTTATTCTGAGGGACAAGGAGACGAACCGAGTGGTGGAATTCGGACCAGGTAACACATTGGTCAAGATGGCCGAACGGACTATAGCGCAGCAGTATGCGCAACAAGACGCTGCGGCAAACATCTCGCGACAATTATTAAGTTTCCAGCAAAATTATGATCAAATATCCTACGAGCAAAAACCTGTGCACCCATCATCAACCAAAAAGACTGAAGACGCATCTGCGGGATCTGAGCCGAAGCCCATCACTTTGACATCGAGTGATTCGCCTCCAGAAAGTGCACCAGCCATCAGCGTTCAACAGTCATCTAATGTCATGGCAGTCGAGTTGGAAGATGAGCCAGCAAGTGCAATCGATATTACAACAACCATTGTCTGTATGGGCCTAAAAAAGCCACTGGACGGTGTTGATACTACCAAGTCCATTAGGGCACTTTCTGGAGGCCGCTCGACTCTGCAAAACGAGATCCTTGGAGATCTTGGGGCCGAGTTTGGTGTCATACCAGATGGTGCCGAGGATATGTCTATCAACGATTTCTGCTCTTTAGTGCAAGGGACATTTGCTGGAAAGCTGGGAGCCAAGTGTTCCTCGGGAATCGAGAAGATGGTATCACAGAAGTTCAGTGGATCGTTCCAGGGCTCTGGAATACGAAAGTATCTCAAAAAGCAATGGGGGTTTGGTCCTGGCCGTCAGGATAGTGTACTTCTCTGGGCGTTGACGTCACAACCGCAAGCCAGGCTACAGAATGATGACGAGGCCAAGATCTTTATCGACGGCATAGTTCAACAATATATTAAAAAACGCGGACTGGTCTTGCCGGCTGAGTCAAGCGCTGCAGGTCCTTCCGCGGCTCAAACCACCGTCAGCGTTGAGGTCCTGGACTGCTTGGAAGAAAGACAAAAAGAAGTCTTTAAGGAGCAACTCGAACTTTATGCTAGGCTGCTGGGAGTCGACCTTCATGCCCCGGAAGCTGCAAATGCTGCACTTTGCCAACGCATATCGGACCTGGAAGAGCAATTAGACGGGTGGAATATTGAACATGGCGAAGCTTATGCGTCTGGCTTGAAACACATCTTTACACCACTGAAAGCACGTGTCTACGATTCTTGGTGGAACTGGGCCATGCAAGATCTCATGTTACTGATATCCACGGCCACATCTGGGAGTCTACGTGATATGGAACCAACCATAGATCGACTGAAAAGAAATTTGGTGCGAAAATCTCATTCGAGGCTCGTTTGCGCGATGCGGCACTTTTTAAGTACGACGACAAATGTCCACGTCGCAGAAACCCTCCGCGACGTCTTATCTAGATGCGAGACTTCCATGAACGAGATGCCGGTGGTTTACTGGCACGACCAGTCGATGGCCCCTGTGACCACCATTGATCAATCCGGCAAGATCGTTTACAGCGAGAGGCCTAGGTCACTGCGCATTGATGATGACAAGCTTCTAAGGATTGGCCACAAAGTTGGCAACAATTGGGAGTACCCTGACAGTCTTTGCAGCACTTTGCATCAAGTGCTGGCCGGAGCAAGAACAACAGGCCTCTCCTTCGCGGGACGAAATATACTTGTTACAGGTGCAGGTGAAGGGTCTATTGGCTGCAGCCTGGTTTCTAAGCTGCTATCCGCTGGTGCGCATGTCATTGTTACCAGCAGCTCCTACTCGCCCAGCGTTACTCGATTCTACCAACGCCTGTTCGCTGAGCACGGCAGTAAGGGCTCAACACTCATACTCGTCCCTTTCAACCAGGCCAGTGTCCGCGATGTCGAAGCTTTGGTAACATACATTTATGACGACGGCGGCCTTGACATGGATCTCGACCATGTCATCCCGTTCGCGGCCATCTCGGAAAATGGCCGAAATTTGGACAACATCGACTCACGCAGTGAGCTTGCTCATCGAGTAATGCTCACAAATACAATTAGACTGCTGGGTAGAGTCAAGCACCATAAAGAAGCCAGGAAAATTGTTACGCGCCCAGCTCAGGTGATTCTTCCTTTGTCACCTAACCATGGAAAATTTGGTGGGGATGGACTCTATGCGGAGTCGAAGCTCGGTCTGGAGTCGTTCTTTGATAAATTCCACTCGGAAGACTGGGCCGACTATTTATTAATATGTGGTGCGCTTATCGGCTGGACGCGAGGGACATTTTTGATGTCTAACAATGACATTGTTTCCGAGGGCATCGAGAAACATGGCATGCGTACGTATTCACAAGATGAGATGGCGCTCCAGATCGTGGCATTGATGGATCCAGCCATTGTGTCTTTGTGTACTGATGAGCCCTTGCTCGCTGATTTGAGCGGTGGCATGGCCCAAATAGCCGACTTGAAGGGTGTTGTCACTGGGATTCGAGATTGCATCAATCAGCTGAGCGAGGAGAGGCGCATGATGACACATGAGGCGCTTTCCGACGCTCACGTAGTGAGTCTGGAAGAGGAAATTGAACCACAAGCGAACATTGATTTCAGTTTCCCTGCCCTCCCCGACTGGAAAACCGAAATCACGCCAATGGCGGACCAGCTGAAGGGCATGGTTGATCTTGATCACGTTGTTGTTGTCACGGGCTTTGCTGAAATAGGGCCATGGGGCAACTCGCGAACCAGATGGGACATGGAGGTCAACGGCTCTCTATCGCGAGAATCGTGTGTCGAGTTGGCATGGATCATGGGCCTCATCAAGGCGCATTCAGGCATTGTGGACGGAAGGCCATTCTCAGGATGGATCGACAAGAACACCAATAAGCCACTTGCCGACCGGGAAATCAAAGAGAAATATCACGATTTTATACGTGAAAACTGTGGCATCCGCTATGCAGAGAGTAAACCGGATTCACCATCATGGACGGGCATGGAGTCGCTACACGAAATCGAGATTTTGAAAGATCATGAGCCAGTCGAGGTTAGCAACGAAACCGCAGTGCAACTGAAAAACATTCATGGCGACAACTTGAACATCATGTCAAATGAAGGAACGGGGCAGTCAAAGATTGTGCTGAAAAAGGGGGCGAAAATCATGATACCCAAGCTGCAACGTACGCAACATACCGTCGCTGGCCAAGTCCCCACGGGCTGGAATCCCAGCACTTATGGGATCCCTGAAGAAATCATCGCCCAAGTCGATCCGGTAACTCTTTTTGCGCTGGTCGCCTCGGCTGAAGCCTTCCAATCTGCGGGCATCTCAGATCCTTACGAATTCTACGACCACTTGCACGTTGGTGAGGTGGCAAATTGTACGGGATCTGGTTTCGGAGGGAGTGCCAGCATACGGAAAATGTTCAAGGGGCGCTATCAAGATCAGCCAGCAGCAAAGGATATCCTTGCCGAGTCCTTCATCAGCTCCACCAGCGCATGGATAAACATGCTTCTCATGTCGTCTGCCGGGCCCAACAAGACGCCTGTGGGAGCATGTGCTACGGCGTTGGAGTCTCTAGACACTGCCTTTGATCTGATACACGCCGGAAAAGCCAAAATGTGTCTGGTAGGGGGCTTTGATGACATGCTTAAAGAAATTTCCGATGAGTTTGCCAATCTCAAGGCCACGGTCAACGCGGATGATGATGCTGCAAGAGGCCGGGAGCCATCCGAGATGAGTCGGCCGGCCACCTCGACTCGCAACGGCTTTGTCGAGTCGGAAGGCGCGGGAGTCCAAGTTGTTACATCGGCAAGTGTCGCTCTTGAGATGGGCTTGCCGATCCATGCCGTGATTGCATTGACGCGGACAGCAATGGACGGAGCCAGCAGATCAATTCCGGCACCGGGCCAGGGCCTCTTGGGCTCAGCCGCTCAAACGCCAAGTAAATACGACTCCCCGTTGATGAGCATGGCACACCGCAAGCGGTCGCTACGCAAGAGGTTGCAGCAAGCCGCCGAGATGCGCGAGCTGCAGATTTCTGACCTCGGGGAGGAGATTGCCCACCTGAAGCGGCAGGGCTGCTCTTTCAACGAAGCCGAGTATCTCCAGGATCGCATGGCCAGCATCGAGCAAGACGCGAAACGCGACCGAGTAGAGGCACTGAAGCTCTACGGTAACCACTTTTGGATTCATGACAGCCGCATTTCACCGATTCGAGGAGCTCTTGCTGTCTGGGGCCTCACAGTGGATGATATTGATGTTGTTTCTTTCCACGGCACCTCGACGAAAGCAAACGAGAAAAATGAATCATCCGTCATCAACGAGCAATTCAAGCACCTCGGTCGCAAGCAGGGCAATGTAGTCCCAGTTGTCTGCCAGAAGTCTCTTACCGGGCATCCGAAAGGAGCTGCTGGAGCTTGGATGCTCAATGGCTGTATGCAGCTCATGGCTGATGGAAGAGTTCCGGGCAACCGCAACGCTGACAACATCGATGCGGCACTACAGCAGTACGACTACCTCGTGTTTCCCAACAAAACGATTGAAAAGCCAGAGGTCAAGGCCTTTATTGTTCAATCGTTTGGCTTTGGTCAGAAAGGTGCCATGGCCATTGGCGTCAACCCCAAGTATCTTTATGCAACGTTGGATGAGGATGACTTTGTGGCGTACAAACAAAAACGCCGGTTACGTGAGCGACAAACAAACAGAGTGTCTAGTGAAAGATTTTTCAACAACTCGATATTTCAAGCAAAGGATGGGGCTCCCTACGCTGCTGCGGACCGTTCGAGGGTGCTCTTAAGGGCCGAAGCATAAATGACCCGAGGCAAAATCCGCAAAAAGGTGTAGCAACAAGTGATCTTGTAGGTGGACCCTAAAGCGTGGGACGAAAGTAGTTGGGCAACAAGGGAGAAAGAAAGAGATGGGGATCGTCACTAGAAAGCGGAGGCAACTGCTTGTTCGAATGTATTTAATGCACTTGGTGATTCTTATTTGACTAGGTTGTTAGTCAGACATTGGTACACGCCTAGGTTTCCTTATGAAATGCGAAATGGAGATGGAGTCAAGTACGCTACAGACGATTCCAAAAGACTAGTGTTACCCCCAAGTTGTTGACGTGAGTGGTGTTTTCCAGGACACGTTGAGATGTGGAAGACACAAGAAGGTGGATGTGTAATCGTCGCGATCGGTGATTTCTAAACCCGAAACAAAGAAGCGTGAGAACAAATTTGCCACCATGCGGTTCGGAAATACAAAGATTTGTTTTCTTTACAAATAGTGTTGCACTATATCTGAACTTGGAGGTCTTGGTGTGTCTTGGTGTCAATACGCCTATTTGGCCGCATGGGCCGGCAAAAAGGGATTCCGTAGATGCAGCTAGCAGTAGTGGTTATATTCCGTTGAAAATTCCGATACCATGACCCTGCTGATCCTCTGTGCCTCTACTATGCTCTGAAATGGACTTTGTTCTGCTCCGTGCCTGGCGGCTTCTGTCCGAGGTTAAATGGTCCTCTTTCGCTTTGTATACTTGGACGCTTGCAAGTAATCTATCCGCATCTGCATAGGATTCCACAAGTGTATGGTACAACAGTTAAAAGCAACTTGGTTGCCTGCGGCTTGCTGTCATCAGTCTGAAACCTTCCCACAATGAGCATTCCAATCATGACCAACAGCTATTTTTGGCACGACGAGTGACGCAAAAGTTTTTTTTGGAAATCCCACTTGTTTGTGCTGGGAATATCCAGCAGCATTATGTTATGGAGCAGCCAGCACAACGCCTGATGTGCGGCACCAACATTATCGACGAGTTCCTCTTGCCATGCAAATATTTTGCACGTTTCATTTAGCATCACCGAGTTCTTATTGCTTATAGACGTTTCGGTTGGGATTTCTCGCACGAGTTATTTTCCTAAAGCTTGCAACAGTGTGGGCTGAAAAAGTTGTGCCATGTGGCGGCTTACGCGTAATGATTGGCCTCACTTGTTCTTTAATTTTTCCCCTTATTTACAAACGATCAAGATGAATCGTTTGGCAAGAAGCTGCCGGTAAGAGTAGATTTCGTCGGCGGCGTGCACCCCTTTGGGGGAGGGTGATGAGGTGCAACGCTTGATTGGCCGGCCTCTTTTCCCTGCGGCCCCCAAAAAGTCGAGTAGAAAGGAGCAGACGGGTCTGGTATAAAAAAAATCATTTGGGTGGCACAAATGAAACAGCTCTTATACATGTACGAGCTCCCTACCGTTGGAGAGAAAATGGGCAGGGGTGTTGTAGTAGGAACAAGAATGAAGCGTCTGGTCCTTTGGTAGGCGACTAGGCGCGCTGCAAGGGCAACATTAATGTGCATCGCCAAAAGAGAGCACTGAGAGTCTATTGGCTACCAAGAGACCGGACTGGCCGCTGCGCCCGCAATTAGCTGTGTGATGAGGTTAATGCACTGCATAAAATATTGGTGATGATGCTGCATGGTGGAAGAACAGGTACAGAGGCGATTGGTTAGGCATGTGTATACCAGTTGACATTTACTTGACGTATTTATGCATGTGCATAGTAACTGGTCACCCCCGCCCAAACAACCGGAGTAGCCGTGCCGCTAGCCGCGCCTTCCGTCCAGCGGGCAAAGTGACTGGACGGCAGAACCCGTCAACTGAGGCCTTGAGGCTATTGGCGCGGAAGGCTATCAGGGCCTCCGCCCTCAGCAATAAGCACTAGTGCCCGTGCGGTGGAGCAGACCAGTTGACGTTCTATTGTCGCGCCAGACCGGCTACCAGGCACTCTTGGTCACTTCGTCTTGGCATCAATATCGACTCCCCTCGCCAGCAGCATCCGCACAACCCCGTCTCGGCCGTTCTCAGCCGCTAGATGCAGTGCTGTCCTCCCGCTGCTGTCCTTTGCGTTTACCTTGACTCCGCTGTTGAGCAGGAGCTGGATAACCTCTTCCCACCCACCCCGTACCGCAGCGTGGAGCGGCGTCGATCCCCGGTGGTCCACTGCCTCCAGAAACGCCCGGTGATCGAGCAGCGCCTGCACCGTCGCGCCATGGCCTTCGCGTGCCGCCAGGTAGAGTGCCGTCTGCCCAGCCCCGTCCCTCGACTCAATGTAGGCCCCGCGCCTCAGCAGGAGCGCGACGACGCCGTGACATCCCCGAAGCGAGGCGATGTGGAGTGCCGTCAGGCCCGCCGAGCTGGTCCCCTCGATGTCTGCGCCCTTGTCGAGCATCATGCCGATGATGGACTCGTGCGCAAAAAAGGCGGCCGTGTGTAGCGCAGTCAGCCCGTCAGCCGGCCTCCAGTCTCGCGATGCGTCTGTTGAGCGGGCGTCTGACGCCGGCAAGGCTAGCGTTTGGTTGTTGGCCAATGCTGGGCTCGCCTGCCGGTTATCCTACAATGCTGGTCAGCAAGTCGCTTGTAGACAGTCGACCAGATAACGTCTAGCTCATACTTCAGACCAAGAGTCTTCGAAAAGTTCTTCGTACTGTCCCAACTCCCCATGCTTGGCGATGGTCACGGATGTGTTGACGAGACCAAACGCTAGTGGACCGTCTTGCATCTGACATGGAGGACTGTAATTTTGTAACTCGTCGTAATGAGAAAATTGGACACTTTCCCCCGATCCGGTGGGGTTGGTGGAATGTGCCGCCGAAGCGTTGTTGGGTATAGGAGCGAAGAAAGGAGCTTGATCTTTGCATCCGGGATCTGTGCCGAGACACATCTGCGACATGTGTTGGCTAGGACTGGTGTACATTGTCGAGTCTAGATAGTCGCTACAACTGTTGTCGTTGCTGCTGCAGCTCTCAGGATTAGTATTCCTATCGCTGCTGCTGCTGCCGCTGCTGCTACCGTGAGTCGTGGAAGTGCTGGAAGAACTGTTAGACTCGGGACCCGAGACGGAGCAATGACACGACGGAGCATTCTCTGTCTCTTGCCGCTGTTGCTCGAGCAGCTCCTTCCTCTTTCTGCCTACAACCCTATATGAGCATATGCGTGTATCAAGGATACAGAAAAGTGTACTTGTTTCGTCTGAACGTACGATAATTGCGCTGAGCGACACGGTTCTGGATACGCCGTCGTTCGACCGCGTCCCGTAAAACCGACCAGTCATCTGCTTTCTGTGTGACATCCATGGTAGGTCTGTATTGTTCAAGTTTCAGAGGAAAGGGTATAAGAAGAGGACGGCCCCGCGTCCGGTCAGTGGCGCCTCGTTTCCTTCACTGTGTAGCATCGTTTCCAAGACACGAGCGGCAAGACCTGGGGCGTAGCTCTTTAAATGCCACTAATCAAAGATGCCCTCTACATCGGCCAAGACTTGACCCGAAACCTGTCGTGTCTTCGGCGCCTACTGGAAATGGTGTGATTGGGGGCATGTCACCTATCCACGTGGAGGCCACGGTTACCCCTGTCTGGCTAGTTTTTGTCGCCAGAAAACCGCTTTCTGGACCATGGAATCCTCCCAGAAGGTCTTGCAGGCGGATGCAAGAGGATGGAGAATACATGCCCTCATGCCAGGTAGGGAATTTGTCCTGGAAACTCGGCAGCATGAGAACTAGCCAGCGCCGGGCTGAGTCAGGTTTTAGAGCTGCTAAACCAAAATCCTTCCGCCTGATACATGGATCAAACATGGGAATTCGGGCCAGGATGGCGACCCCTTGATGGGTTTTTCTATTGTGGATGGCGAGCCATGTCCTGGGGAGGGTGCCTTGAAGGCTTTCACCACGTTGACGATTCTCCACCACTGTCACTCTCCTTGCCACGATCCGTCGTGCCATCGACACACCAATTCAGCAGTAGGAGACACCATATGGAGCTTGATTGTCAATGGGAAGCTGTTTGACAGAGAGAGGTTGAGCCGTGCCAACACATACGGATCCCTCGTTACTCTGGTAAAGTCATCTCTGGTATTAGCAAGCTGGGCTAAGCGGGGCCGTATCCCCATTGGCCTCGCGATTTTAACACAACGACACCAGACGGGACTGGAAACAGCAGGTAATGTACCGAGTAATCTGTCCTGTTGCGCTGAAATAGCACGAGGTTTGTTCAAGTCACAGGGAACCAGCCAAATGCTCCCCGTGAGGGAGCTTAGAGCCAGACGCCATTCCTATTGGTGGAACATCACTCACAGCCGCCAAGGAACCAAACCAGGTTGATGATGGTACTGGTATCATCAGACTAGAGTGCTTTGGGATATTCGTGCTTGCTGCGCTGGGGCTGCTGGGTGAGTGGTGCCGCCCGAGAGAGCTCAGCTCAGTCTCCCGCCAGGAAGCAGCCGCGATGTTGCTATTTGAATCAGATTACATACTAACTAGTTTTTGCCATGGTGCATTGTGGAACCCGCTCGTTTTCGGCATCCATGTTCGAGAAAGCTCCGAGTGGCGCTCCTTGATGGCCAATAGGTAGGTAGGTACGGAGCAAGAGGCCGTCAATCGCGCCAAAGGGCATAGAGTTAGAGACGGTACCAAGGGAAATAATGGGCCTGGGGGCGATCCAGCTTTAGATGCTGCTGATTCAATTGGGCTAAAAACAGAACAATGGCGCCTTCATCGTCGCAGTGGTTGAGAAGCAGCCTGATATTGGTTATTACTTACCCACACGAGACGGGTCGCCGGCACAGCTGACCCGTGCCACGTTTCGATTGACAAGGGCTAGGATCGGTTGAGTGGGTAAGGATTTCTATTGTTTCCATAACCAACATACGTTACCCCGGGAAGTGTGCCGTTGGGATGAGTAAGATGTATGTATGTCAGATCCCCACCGTTGGTTGACCTCTTCCCTTTTCCCCGTGAGGTGCGTCATGGTCAACTTTGGTATTGCTTTTGCTCTGCTCGTTTAAGCATTACTACATTTTCCGTCCCTCTTGCGGCGCCGTGACGGACGCATCGAATCCCTTCCGCATCTCTTACTGATTGCCTCTGGAGTTGATCTTCCTTTGAGCTGGTTCTGCCCGTCGAATCTTGACTAGCCATGAACTCTCACCGACACCCCGATGACGCGAGCGCGAGACACCCAAGGTCCCTCCCTGACGGTCATGATGAGAACGACGCGGCACCAGGAAGGCCGTCAACACAACACCGCATCGCCCATCCGTTTGCGCATGCGTATGCAGATGAAGTCCATCCTCCCTCGTATGAAGAGGCGCAGGCCTCAACAACAGGATGTGCGGGGGATCAGAAGACAATGTTTCCCTCTGCGCGGACATCGAGCGGCAGTCCTGGCAATTATGCTGCAACTTTGAGCCAAGCAACGTATGAACACCATATTTTAACCATAATACTCAAACAGAATTTAAAAAAAAACCAACAGAAGGCAATTAGACCAACTCCCATTAGACTCCGATTACTCTTACCAGCTTGGCGCGTCTGCAGAGCCTACAGCTGAAGCAACGACAATCGGAGTAGCATCTCGAGCTACACAAATCGAACCAATGTCGCAGTCCTCTGTGACGGAGGGAACACGAGCGTTCGTCATTGGTAAGTGGCCTTTTGAGAGTCTGTACTCAGACGTCGGGCTGACGAGACATTGAGATGATGGACGCGTCGAGATGCACATCGACGAGTCGCGACTCGTATCTAGAATCCTGTCCACGACATTGCAAGCCGAGAACCGGTCCGAGGAACAAAACTCCACAGCCCGACGCTCTTCTTCTGCCAGCCTCGCTCAAGGCAGACTGCCAAGCAACAAGGTGGTCCGGCTCAATGTCGTTATGCAGGTCGTGGGATCCCGCGGCGACGTCCAACCTTTTGTAGCTCTCGGAAAAGTGCTCAAGGAGAAATACGGCCATCGGGTCCGCTTGGCAACACACGGCGTCTTTCGCAAGTTTGTCACCGAGAACGGTCTTGAATTTTTCGACATTGGCGGAGATCCAGTGCAGCTCATGGCCTTTATGGTGAAAAATCCAGGCTTGATCCCCGGCATCGATTCAATCACGAGCGGTGACGTGGGGAAAAGACAGAGAGAAATGAAGGAAATCCTGATTGGCGCCTGGAGGTCATGTTTCGAGGCTGGTGATGGCACCGGGCCGCCACTGGAAGAAGATGGGTTCCAGACAAGCGAAACCGAGATCCCCTTTATCGCGGATGCTATTATTGCGAACCCGCCCAGTTCCGCCCACATTCACGTTGCCGAGAAGCTGGGGATTCCGTTGCACATCGTGTTCACGTACGTATTCATCACCTCATGATGCCGAGCATCTCGGGCTAATGTCTGATCAAAAGAATGCCGTGGTCTCCAACGCTGTCGTTTCCTCACCCCCTTGCCAACATTGTATCGGTGACTACTGGCGAGCGGAGAGCCAATTTCCTTAGCTACGCGCTCGTCGAAGTCTTGATGTGGCAAGGCCTAGGGGCCGTCATCAATCGCTTCAGAGAAAAGACTTTGTTTCTCGATCCCCTAAGTGATGTGTCTGGACCTGGAGTAGTCAGCCGCCTCCGGATACCACATTCGTATTGCTGGTGAGTTCACTTCCAATGTATACTCGGCGGCGCAGTCATACAGTCCGGTAGCATATTGATTTCCAGCGTGGCAGGTCGCCGGCTTTGATACCCAAGCCCGCGGACTGGGAGAATCACATCACCGTTTCAGGCTTCAGCTTCCTCCCACTTTCGTCGACGTACACTCCGGACGCTGACCTTGAGGCATTTCTCAAGGCGGGCCCTCCGCCTCTGTACATTGGCTTCGGATCAATCGTTCCCGCTGATCCTGACGGTCTGACCAGATTGCTACTTTCTGCCATCAAGCAGACAGGACAGCGTGCCCTCGTTTCCAAAGGCTGGGGCGGGCTCGGCAAAGACGACGTGGACATTCCCGACGTCTTCATGCTCGGCAACGTCCCGCACGAGTGGCTTTTCGAGCGCGTCTCGTGCGTCGTGCACCACGGCGGTGCCGGTACCACGTCCACGGGTATTGCCAAGGGGAAGCCTACCATCGTGGTGCCTTTCTTCGGTGACCAGCTATTCTGGGGCTCAATGATAGCCCGCGCTGGCGCAGGGCCGCCACCAATCCCGTTCAAACAGCTCACAGCGGAAAACCTTGCTTCGGCAATCCTTATGGCCATCAAGCCGGATATGGTGGAGGCTGCCAAAGTCCTGGGCCAGAAACTATCCGGTGAGGATGGGCGAGAAACAGCGGCCGACGACTTCCACAAAGGACTCAGCTTGGACACGATAAAATGCGACTTGTCACCGAGCCGAACAGCGGTGTGGAGAGTGTCCAAGACCAAGATCAAATTGAGCGCCTTTGCCGCCACAGTCCTAGCGAATGCGGGCATTTTAAATATGAACGACCTAAAGCGGTGTGTGAGAAGAGTTTTCGATGTCCATGGACAAGAGGACCGCTAACCATGTCAGGTATCACCCACGCTCGTACCACACCGTAGAAGGATCCGTCGATCCGATTTCGGGTGGATTGGGGGCGATTCTAGGCCCTGTTGGGAGTCTGATGATGGGCATGATTGATATTCCACTTGATGTTGCCAAGGCAGTGGCGGTCAAGTCGACAAGCTCACCCAATGACCAGACCGAAGGCCCTCGTTCGGCACCAAAAGCCAGTCCTGAGAAGCTGAATGTCGGCTCCCAGGTCAGCGCTGATCAAAGTCCCATTCCCGGCCCCATCGAATCAAGACAGCTTTCCTCAATCACCACAGTGGACTCTGCTGATCCCCACGAGTTCAAGCTTCCACGACGGCCTCCTAACTTGGAAGCTGACCCATCCGGGTCGGAGCCTGCGCCCCAATCGCCGGTACGGAGAGAATCTGATAAGAAGGGCAAGAAGAAGAGCATGAAGGAAAAAGTAACAGCTGCAAAGGCACGTATCTCCCTCGTCACTGCCCGCACCCCATTTTGCATCAACTGACAGCTGCAAATACTAGGCATTTGGCTTCGGCTTTTACAAAGAACTCTCGGGCAACGAACACATGGCTCGCTCCAGCTTTCTTCCAGATGTCAAAGGATCCATCAAAGATCATCCCAGCGGCTCGATAGGCTCGGACGCAGCGCTCGGAGCAGGAAAAGGACTTGGACGCATTGCAGCCATCGGCATGCGTATCCCAATGGACTTTGCCATGGGAATCAGCAGTGGGTTTCGTAATGCGCCAAAATTGTACGGAGACACTACGGTGCGGCCAGCCCACAAAGTAGAAGGGTTCAACAGCGGATTACAGGCTGCAACAAAGGAGTTTGGCTACGGAGTATATGATGGCGTGACGGGACTGGTGTCACAGCCTTACAATGGAGCCAAGAAGGAGGGCGTGTCTGGATTCTTCAAAGGCTTTGCAAAGGGTGTGGGCGGTGCCGTGTTGAAGCCTGGGGCTGGTAAGAATTTTGGATCCCCTTCTTGAGTCATCATCACTCTTCCCATCTCCATCTCCATGACCATTACATCAAAGGCGCGACGTCTTTTTTTTTTCAACGCGTTGCTAATTTTCAACCAGCACTTTTTGGCATCCCCGGGTATGCATTCAAGGGCATTCACCAAGAGATACAAAACCATTTCGGCTCAGGCCTGGAGAGCTACATCATTTCTATTCACACAGCCAAGGGCTTGAGGGAGTACGCTAGCGCCACGGAGGACGAGAAGACGGATATTGTGAATAAATGGCATTCGGGTGAGATTGAGCAAAAGATATCCAAGCCTGGAATTATAGACAGATGGCAATCTGTACAGAGGTCACGAAGCCAATGGAAGGAGGACGAGGAACGCGAATCAAGAGCTGAGAATTAGTCGCTTCTGTAAAATGGACGAAGATCTAGCAGTGATGCGTTGCCGACGTAATGGGTCACAAATAAAACAAACGTTAAGCAACCGTGGTCGCTGTAGAATATCTCTAGATAGTATTCAAATCATGTAAGCTATTTGTGTGCCGTTGCATCACTCCTCACCCAGCGTCACAACGCTTTAAGGAATATATTAAAGTCATGTTTCCTGGACTGCCCAGCTTGGTACGATACATTTGAAGGGAGGTTGAGCATATCATGGTTCAAATTACCAGCCAAGTTTCTAAAAGTATCCTGGTCTTGATCCTACGGCGTCGTCTTTACCACTGAGCTAAGTCGCTCCATTCTTTGAGTTTTATGAAGTACCACAACACGTGTAATGATTACCTAGGTACCTAGGTAGTTAGCCGGACCATTGTGTGGAATCTTTTGTACAAAACTCCATTCACCACTTGGGCTACCCTGCACCTTTGACAGCTGCAGTAATTCTGGACCAAATCGAATTGAAGGCGTCTGAGAATCCAGCATGGACTCTTCAGGCTTGGGGCCATCATGAGGGGATGGTCACATACACTCTAGATCGCATTACCCGCTGTGTCCAAGCGACATGAAAATAAATACGGCAGTGCCGCAGTGCCTATGATGAAGCAAATTTTAATTTATTCTTGATGGATACATTCAAGTTTCAATCACTGCGCCGGTAGAGTATGCGGCACAATTTCTGACATTATAGACCTTATCTAATACCGGAAATCCCTCATGAACGAAAATACAGCAGAGTCTTCCAATAATCGCGGTAGCTTCTATGCCAATAATACATTATACACATGAGAAAGAAAACTATTTAGAAATAGCTGTTGACACAATATACTCTTTTAATGGGTCGATAGAAACGCAAAGTACGCCATGCGTTCAGATATCCAGATTGACAATCTTCATTGTCGGTTGAGCCATCATTGCGGTCAACGTTTTGGCAAAATCAACTGCCATCTCGCCCGCCTGGCCATCTCGCATCATATCGGTCCAGTATGCGATGGATATTTCGACCGTGACGCCATCGACGTGGACAGCGACGGATACATCATACTGTTTACATTAGCAAGTATGCTCTTTGAACTGCGTACAAGAGTCAAAACATACCTGATTGGGATCTTGTCCTCCCTTGTTTTCAAATCTCAACAAAGACTCTTTTCTGTCCCCAGATTCAGAGTCTTTGCCCGCCCCATTCGAATATTGCATTGACATTATCGTGTTGAAGAGTCCCCGCGCTGGGCGTTGGGTGTGTTCCTTGATAGCTGGAACAAGACCGTATTGGTGGGGTAAACTCTGAAGAAAGTCATTCCTGGTCTGTTGTAATAGATCAAGCACCGTCGTCGTCGAATCTATGACTTGGCGGTACAAGAGCATGTGTATCAGCGCTCCAACAAGGTCCATCACACCATCAACGGGCATGTCTCGGCCGGACGTCAAGTATCCAAAGACAGCATCGTCGCAGCCTGTATACTTGCGCAAGACTAGACCCCACGTCGACTGGATGAGATTCGCTACAGTCAAACCGTAAGTCTTGCAAAAGCTCTGGATCTGGGCAAAGTCTTCATTGAGATGGACATGCACAGACCGCTGCTCTCTCTCGCTGCTGAGAGGAGCCTCAGGACGCGGCAAGTGGCATGGCTGAACAGCCTGCAAGTACTGCCGCCAGAAGATGGCATCTTGGCTGGCGGATTGTTGCCGCAGGAAGGCGATGTAATCGGAGTACATCGGACCAGGAGCAAGCTGGCCATTGCTTTCGTAGGCGATGTAAAGGTCGCGCATTAGGAGTCGCATGGACATGCCATCAATAAGAGCGTGACTGATGTCCAAGTTGCACATTACTTTGCTGGCCGTTTTGAAAATAGATAGACGATGGTGTGGCACCGGTTCGAGGAAATCGATCATACTTTGAGTGCGCATTTTCTCCGACACATCGTCATCGTCGCATTCTATGATGGCAATTCTAGCCAGATGCTCATGGAGAACGACTTGATCAAAAGAATCCTTCCGAGGGACGCTTGGCACGAATATGGTGCGAAGAGAAACGTGTCGGTCCACTACTCTTTGCCAAGCCGTCATTAACCGGGAATAGTCTACGGGTCCGGCTTGTGGTCCTGGTATGATGTCGTAGATATTCCGGACTCCGTATATTCCAGGTGCCTTTTGTTGAGCCGATAGCATGGACTCCTGCATTGGTGACGTTGGGTACGCGGCTTCTATCTGCCTCGGGCCGATGCCAAGGCTGCTGAGATGGGATTGGAACTGGGAAAGCTCACTATCATCTAGCGAGAGGAGTGGAAAACTACTTCTTGTAAGTTGGAATTCCATGACAGACAACCGGTTCGTGATTGTGTTTAGGCACTCTTTGCTTTCTGACACCCATTGCCGAATCAAGTCTTGATGGTGCATGTGGCGATTGTAAGCAAAGGAAAAGCGCGTTTTTCCTTGGACGATCTCTACTGAAATCTCAAAGAGGGAAAACGGTTCCATATCTGGTCCTTGGTCTTTGTGTACTTCGTTTTCAACAAGGGGCTCTGGTCGGAGTAGCGCATCGTCTCTTTCCAGCTGCTGATAGCGACCCTGGTAATTGAGAATGACCTCCATTTGTGCGTGATTCCCGAACTTCTCTTTTCCTTCTGGCGACAAAAAGCGGGAACAGAAATAAGGATACCCACTGCTCGGGACTTGACGCCTTAAATCCTTGGTATGCGCCAGGATCTTTAGCTGATCTTCATCTTGCATCACCGGAACGTGCAGCGGATTCATGGTTGTGAACCAGCCAACTATTTCCGCTGCATCCAACTCAGGAGCCAAAGATTCTCTGCCGTGACCCTCGCTGAAAATTGTCGGCGTTGGCCGACCGGTAAAGACCCGGTGGAAGGAGTCAATCAAAGCTGAGAGAATGATATCCACGGGCTCCGTTTGGAGGGCTTCATTACTGACACCAAAAAGCTTCTCCGTAGTTTCTTCGTCCAGCGAGAACGTAGTATCCAGCCGATCTTGAAAGATATTGGCTTGATTCAACATGCCCCAAAAGCCAAAGTCTGCTGGAGGGATTTGAAGCGGCATTACGTCCCGCGGAATGAGCTTTCTCGCGTATTCCGCCTGCGTCTTGGCCCAAGTCTGGAACGATGGTGGTTTCGGTGAAGACAGCCTGCCAGAGTCTAAGAGTTCTTCCAGGTCTCGCAGAATGTTTCTCCACGAGACTAAATCTATGACCAGGTGGTGGGCGCAAAGGAAAAGTAGTTGATATGAGTCCTCAACAGCGTCGTTGTCGCCGATATTGAATAAGGCAGCCGAGAACACTGGGCCTTCTCTTATGTTGATCGCGCGCTGGGAGGCTTCGATCAGTGGCATCATCTGTTCTCTCCGAGTCAGTTGATGCATACCGAAATGGTGTGAATCTGCCACATCCCCAGTAATACGCTGCGTCCATTGATTGTTTTCTCCCTGAGAAAACCTTGCCCGTAGCAAGGAGTGTTGTCCAACCAACTTTTCGATAGCCCTAGCCATTTGCAGTGTTCCAATGCGTCTGGAGACACGCAGGAGGAAGCTCTGATGGAAATGATGAGACACTTCGGCTTTCGACTCGATGTCAAAATACATCTGCTGAATCGGCGCAAGACCAAAAGAAGAATCGAGAATTTCTGGATGGGCTAGTGTAGTCTCAGAAGTTGATTTTGCCAGAAGCGCCATCTGGCTGATGGACTTTGAGCGCAGAATGTGCTGTGTCGAGAGCTCAATCTTCTCCGTGCGGCATTTTGCTCTTAATTGCATTGCCGTTATGGAATCTCCTCCGAGACTCAAGAACGACCTGTCGAGTCTGACGGTCTGCAGATTGAGTACTTGACTCAATATCTTTTGAAACTTCTCTTCCATGATGGTTGCAGGGATGTGACTGCCATCCAACTCTCCGGCGTCACTTGAAGTTGAATAAACATCCTCGTCCATCTGCTCAACCCATTTTGTCATCTCTAGTCGGTTGAGTTTGCCCGAAACGGTCATGGACATGTGATCCACCACCAACCAGATTGAAGGAACCATATATCCTGGCACAACCTCAGCGAGCTTCTTTCGTATGAGAGAAACCTCTAGCTGGGCGGATTCGGTTTGTATGAGTTGCGGCCTGTCTCTAGCAGCTGCTGGCGGAACAGATTCAAGCGAGATGATGGCAGTCAGACGCTGCTGACCGGATTTCGACTTGGGAAGCAGAATCATTGCATGTCTGATGTGTCTGTCCGTAGACAAATGATGCTCAATCTCACTGGACTCGATGCGCTGTCCATGGAGCTTGAACTGTGTATCCTTTCTGCCGACGTAGTCAATGGATCCATCAAAGTTGTACTTCACTAAATCTCCCGTCTTGTAGAATCGCCTATCCCCATGCCCCTTGGCCCAGGCAGGATTTGTGATGAAGCGCGCCCGAGTTGTCTCGTCTAGAGCAACATATCCGCGAGCTAGAATAGGGCCTTCAATCAAAAGCTCTCCAACACAGCCTATTGGGCAGAGGTGATCATGATTGGCAATCTCAGTGATCCACATCAACGCACCAACGCCGTATCCAATGTTTGTTGGTGACGTGTCCGACTTGAGTCCGCAGAGGGCGGTTGACCAAATGCTCGTCTCGGCCGGTCCATAAATATTGATCAGATGGACCCTACTCGCCCACACGGCTACATTTTCTTTCGTCACGGCCTCACCACCCAATGACAGGGTCTTCAGTGTTGGGACATCTGCGGGTTGGAGGAAGCTGGCCACGGTGGGCGTCAAATAAGCCCAATTGATCTTCATTCTGTTGATGAAAGCGGCCAGATCGTTCAACCTCTCTTCCTCTGTCGGCACACATACACAGCCGCCATATATCAGGGTCGTGAAAATTTCCCCGATACTCACGTCGAACGTGTAAGCAGCAAATTGCAAGACTCGGGAGTCGGTCCCCAAACGCATTGCTTTGCCGTGAGCTTGTGCACTGGCGCAAAGCGCACGATGCTCCAAGCAAATTCCCTTGGGAGTTCCAGTAGACCCTGATGTGAATACTACGAAGGCGGGATTCTCTGGCCTGGCACTAGTAAAAGTGCCTGTCGTTGGGTATTGGTTCGTCAGACTATCTGTAGGCAGGACAACGTTGACGTTCCACTCCTGGAAAATATGGCCATGTTGCTGTTGTGTCACAACAATGCTGGCTTTGACATCTTGAGCTATGGCTTGAAGGCGTTCCGGAGGGTGCTCAGGGTTAATGGCAACGCATGCGCCGCCAGCCTTGATGATGGCCAACATGGCGATGATGGTCCATGCAGACTTGTTGTAACAGACGAGTACCATAACCTCCGGCTTCACGCCGACTTGAACAAGGTGATGGGCTAGCTGAGTTGATCTGCTGTCGAGCTCAGCATAAGTAAAGCTGCCGTCCGATGCAAGAATTGCCGGGGCAAGTGGCCGAGCAGATACTTGGGCTTGGACGAGATGGTGCATCGTCTCGTTCTTCTCCAGCGGCGGTTCCTTATTCCATGCAGCAACCTGCTCTGCGTCTTGAGGACTGAAAAAGCTGACATCCCTTAAGGGGAGACAGCGAGAATCCTCCTTATTGAGTTGTCCAACCAAATGCTGGAACAAGTTGAGCATTTTCTGGATCCGATCGTGGGAGATGATCGCAGTGTCAAAACGGACCTCGACGTCGACTTTGTCAGCATCTTGGACGCATTCCACCACCAAGCCGTAGCTATCAAACCCAGCAACATCATAAGATACGGGAATCATCCCTAAAACACCCTCTGTATCTTCACTTGCTGCAGATTGAATGACGAAGAGATGCTTTAGATCAACGTAGTTCTCCAGGCTACGGAGATTCTGAAGGCCAACGTGTGCGAATGGTATCATCTCCGTCATCTTATTCTGAGTGTTTCTGAGATAGCCGACAACAGTTTGCTCCATGTCAAGATTCATGACAATTGGAACGGTCGTAATGGTTGGCCCAATCACGCTCTCGATACTTTGCATGTTCAAATTACGGCCCGAAAGCGCCATGGCAAATGCGACATCATTACTATTAGAATGTCGAGCCACCGCCAATGCCCATGCAGCTTGTAGGATACTGGACATTAAGGTTTCAGACTTGTAACTGCGAGTAATCGCAATGGAGTATGTGAAAGCCTGATTTGGGCGAGGTTTGTGAGTTAGGGAGCGCGCCTCGGGGAAGCTCGTGGGCTTGTCACCGGAGAGTTGTCTTTTCCAGAATGCCATTGATGCGCTTTGGTCAATATTCTCAAGGTGCTCAATAAATTTGCTATATGGCACGGGCTTTGGAATCCCATCATCATGGTAAATGCTTCGCAGCTGGTCAAAGAGCAACTGATTACTCCACGCATCGTAAACTGCATGGTGTGCGGTCCAGATAAAATGACCCTCCACGATGGCATACCGAGAAAGGGGTTTTCCAAAATTCATGTTTTTGGCCAAGTCATCCTGCAAATATGCTCGCAGTGTTGACGCACTTTGCCACGCCAGGCTTTCGCGAACAACGACCTGCAAGTCCGTGTCTAAGATTCGTGTTCTCAAGATCGGGTGCATGTCTGCCAGTGTCTGCCACGCACTTTTGAAACGATCCAGGTCAAGTGTTTCTCGTAGCTGGAACACTTTTTGAGCAATGTACGCACCGGGATCCCGGATCGTAATACTAAACAGGCCCTTCTGTAGAGATGTGCATGGATAGACGTCCTCGATCGCCTCAGTTTCAACGCCACAAAGGCTTGCTGCGATCTGAATGATATCTTCCGAAGAGTGTTGGCCTCGCAGCAGAGAGAAAGGCTCAATATCTGTCGCTGGAGTAAAGACAACCTCCTGAATGGCCTTTGCCATCTCGGATAGTTTTGGGAAGCGAAAAATGTCCGCCACAGATATCGAAAGATGGTTAGCACGAGCTTCAGCAACCAGTCTCATTGCAATAATTGAGTCTCCGCCGGACTGGAAAAAGTTGTCATTTGCGCCGATTGTAGAAACATTAATGCGCAACAGGCTGGCCCAGAAGCTCTGCAACTTTATTTCCATCGGGGTTGAGGGTGCTACCTTTTCAACATCACCTAGCATGTAAGGCGCGAGCTGAGCTTTGGGAAGTTTTGCAGCCATTTCTCGCATGGCTTTGCGATCCAGTTTACCGGATGAGGTAGTGGGAGCTTGACGGAGAACGATGAACAGCTGTGGCACCATATATGGTGGTAGGGAACCCACGAGTAATTGCTGGAGATGTAGCATGCTCCTTCGGAACTCTTCTGTCATTGGCACGAGATTGTTGTTTGTGCCGTGAACCAAGTGCTGATCTTTTTGAACAAGTTGAAGAAAAGCTGCCAAAGCTCGGTCCTCCTTATGCCCTTCCTTCGAGACGATCTCAACGGCCACATGCTGTGCGTCTGGGAGGCTCTGCCTGATGTGGTCTTCAATCTCGCATGGCTCGATCCTCTGGCCTCGAAGTTTGACTTGGGTGTCCTTTCTTCCAACGTAATCCAATGTTCCGTCAACGTTGTATTTGACTAAATCACCTGTCTTGTACATTCGCCGTGGCTTCCTTTGGCCACCCGTTGCCCATGGTGGATCAAAAATGAAAGCTGCGGATGTGGTTTGGGGATTTTTAACGTATCCTCGCGCCAAAATCGGTCCCTCGACTAGGAGCTCGCCGACACACCCAATTGGGGCCAAACGATTATGGTCGGTGACATCTGTGACCCATGTATGAGCTCCGTAGCCACGGCCAATATTCGCCGGTCGTTTTCCCGGGCTTAAGTGGGAGTTGGAAGTCCAAATGGTGGTTTCAGACGGTCCGTAGCTGTTGATCAAGTGTACTTTGGCTGCCCATCTCTCGACAAGATCCTGCCTGATCGCTTCTCCACCGAGAGCCAGCGATCGAAGAGTCGGAACTTGGGCGGGATCAAGGATATCAGCCATCGCAGGAGTCAGGAAAAGCCAATTAACTTTCCACTTGTTGATTACTCCAGTCAGGTCATTGAGCCTCTCGGCTTCGGATGGTACGCAGACACATCCTCCAAACATTAAAGTTGTGAGAACCTCGCTATTGCTGACATCAAACGTTGAAGCGGCAAAATTCAATGCTCGGGTGTCGCTGTCAAACTGCATGGAAGGCCCTTCGGCGTGTGCCATGGTGACCATGCTGCGGTGTTCTATCACCACGCCTTTGGGCTTCCCCGTAGATCCAGAAGTGAATACGACAAAAGCTGCACTCTCAGGCCGTGCGACAGAGGGTGCAGTGATGCCCGAAGTCGGTAGCGTAGTCACCCACGATGGTTCGACCACGATGATTCTGGGGACTACATTGACAAATAACTCTGCGTATTGGGGAGCTACTAGTATGAGGCCCGCGTCGATGTCGTCAATGATTCCCCGTAGACGACTAAGTGGATGGGCGGAGCTTAATGATACATAGGCACCACCGGCCTTGAGCACGGCAGTCATCGTCACGATGGTCCATAGCGATTTGTCGAAGCATATGGGGACCATGACCTCAGGGCCGACGCCGAGATCAACCAAGTGTGCGGCCAAACCGTTGGACAGGCGATCCAGCTCTTGGTAAGAGAGCTCCCCATCCCATGCACAAATAGCAGGCGTATCGACAGGCCGGGAGCGCATCTGTTTTTCGATGACTTCATGGATACACATATTCATAGGATCGTGCTTTTGGCTGTTCCAGACTTCCAACTGCTGTCGGTCTTGTGGACTGACAAGATCGATCCCTTCCATCGTGGTAGAGTGCGATTCGTCATTAAGCTGACGAATGATATGCTGAAACTGCCACAGCATTCTTTTCATCTGTTCAGTCTCAATCACATTTTTATCGTAGCGCGCTTCGATACACACGTTCTCATTTTCGAGACTGCATTGAGCAATCAGCGCATACGTGTTGAAGTCATCTTCCTCTGTTGGTAATAGTTCCAGGTCCAGAAAACTGTCAAATTCCCCCAGTGATTGGATAACGAGAAGATGCTTCAGGTCCAGTTCGTAATCTGGCTCAGCCTCGAGACAGAGTCGACGAAGACTTTGTATCCCCACATGCTCGTATGGCATCATCTCCATCGCTTGGCTTTGCATAATTTCCAGATACTTGTAAACGGTGGTATTCCCGCTCGGAAGCTTGATTCTCAGGGGCACTGTCGTGATAGTAGGCCCTGTCATTTTCATGATGCCAGGAACAGGAGCGGTGCGACCAGAGAGGGTCAAAGCAAGTATAATGTCATCAGATCTAGAATACTGAGAGACGACCATGGCCCATGCAGCCTTTATCAGAGTGGCACTAGTGATAGTGGAGTGCTTTTGGCGAGAGAGTGGAAGACGAAGAGTTTGCACTTGATCAGCTCGAGGCTTATATGAGGGGGCCGGCAGGACAGGGAAGCTTGTTGGTGCTTGCTCTCGCAAAAGCTGTGATTTCCAGAATGTATTTGAGGACTCCTTATCCCCTTGGGCAAGGAAATGAATAAATCGGTTGTAGGGTGGTGATTTCGATACCGCATCGCCCATGTATAGTTGTTTGGCTCTTTCAAACAACAGGTTTTGACTCCAGCCACTGTTTTTTCCTTGTGTTAGCCATTTTCCGTCTTGGCAAAAAAAAAGCTGCTCAAGTGCATCTCTGCCAAGAAGCAGGAGTTGCAATTGAACCAAAGACAAACTTACTCGTAGAGTGCATGGTGGACAGTCCAGACGAAGTATGAATCTTGTCCGAGTCCATCAATTATGCAAAGCCGATGGAGGAGCCCACCATACTCGATTGGAAGCCCTCGATCCTTTTCAAGATATGTTTCGAGGGTCAAGCCCTCTTTCCAAGGATTTTCCTCTCGCAAAACAACCTGCACAGAGTTCGTGTTGGTCAGAATGACTCTGGTTCTCAAGATTGGTTCGAGAGAGATCAGCTGCTGCCACGCGTTTCGGAAGCGATTCAAGTCGATGGTGGGTGGAATTTTAAAGACCATTCGTGCGACGTACGCACGAGGCAATCGAGTCGAGATTGCCATAAGCCCCTCTTGTAAAGGGGTGCACGGGTAAACATCTTCAATAAAGTTTTTCTCGACCTTGCATCTCTCCGCACAATGACCTATCATCTCTTCTCGACAAGATGGTTCAAGAAGAGCAAAAGAGTCTAATTCCACTAAATCTCTTGTCGTTGTTTCGGGAATTGCAACCGTCAATGCCATATCACAAAGATTCGGGTACTTGAATATGTTCATTACCGAGATCTGGATATTCGATGCTCGAGCAGCGGCAACTAGCCGCATAGCGGCGACTGAATCTCCTCCAAGTCCAAAAAAGCTGTCTTTGGCACCAATCATTTTTATGTCGATGCATAATACCACGCTCCAGAGCTGTTGCAGCCGTTTTGCGAGGTCTGTCGACGGAGGTTCCTTCACTTTATGTTCTAGAGAGTAGTCTGACCACTGTCTTTCCGAGAATTCGGCAGCAATCTTGCGGAGAGCTGCTCTGTTGGTCTTTCCAGACGGCGTCATTGGCATCTGACTCATAGATATATACATAGATGGAATCATATATCTTGGCAGCGATAGAGCTAAAGAGTTTTGAAGTCCTTGCAGGTCTTTCTGGAGCTGTGGCGTTAAAGGAATTGGCGTACTGTCCGAGGAGCCGACAGTGCTACCATCATCTGGGCCATCAACCGCAAAGAAAGCGGCAAGGGTTTTTCTGGTGGTTTCCTTTGGCACAAGTGCCTCGACAGTCACTTGTCGTAAGCTGGGTTGATGGTCAATGACCTGGGCTTCAATGTCGGTCAGATCAAGTCGCTGGCCATAGAGTTTCTAAATCACATGTTAGTGTTTGATTTCTTATTGACGATTTGTATAAAAGTCCCAATATTCTTACAATTTGTGTATCCCCACGGCCAAGTATATGAAGACTGCCGTCCGAGTTGTATCTGACCAAGTCTCCTGTTTTGTAAAATCTGCGATCCACTCCCGGCTGGGTGCGCGACCAGATTGGATTCCAAATGAATGACTGTTTGGTTTTTTCTGGGTCACCAAGGTAACCGGCCGATAAAATAGCTCCTTCAATGAGCAACTCACCGACACAGCCAAGTGGTGCAAGCTTGTCATGATTGTTGGGCTCAACAACCCAACCAAGACCTCCGACAACTCGTCCTATGTTCGCTAGGTCTGTATCATCCGAGATATTGCAACTGTATGAGCTAGTTATACTGCACTCCGCAGGGCCGTATACATTAACGAGCGTGTCAAGATTTCCGGCCCATATGTCCACAACTTCCTTGGTCAACGCCTCGCCACCTAGCTGCAGGATTCGCACGGAGGGAACATCAGCAGGTCGAATGAGTGCCGCAACAGTTGCTGTGAGGTCAACTGATGTGGCTTTGACATCATGAATCGCTTGGGAGAGATTGTTCATTCTGTCATGGTCCGAGATGTTGCAAATGCAGGCTCCAAACATCAGCGAGCCTAGGATGTCCGATATCGAAACATCAAATGTGTACGCAGCAAATTGTAGCACCCTCTGACCTGGTCCATTTCCCTTCACTATCAAATTGTTCCAAAGAGCGAATGTCGCCAGGGAGTAATGGTAGAGTTGGATTCCCTTTGGATTCCCGGTAGTCCCAGACGAAAAGATGACATATGCGACGTTATCGGGCCGGACTGAAGCACAAGGTATGCCTGCCACAGTAGGAAGCTCATTGATGAATCCCTGGTCAACAGAGATAATAGTGTCGACGAATCCTTCCAGGAGGTGAGCATTTCGAGGTGCAGTCACAGCTACCTTCGCACTACACATGGCGCTGATGGCCTCGAGACGCGTCGACGGCTGCGCTGGATCCATGGGAATGCAGGCACCACCGGCCTTCAAGATGGCCATAATGGAAATGGTCGCCCATGCCGATTTGTGGAAGCAGAATGGGACATAGACTTGAGGTCCAACACCCATGCTAACCAGGTGATGAGCCAACTTTGTAGACAAGACATCAAGCTCGGCATACGTGAAATTTCCATCAAAAGAGCAAATCGCCGGTGCTTCGGGTTGCTTCAATGCCTGTTCGTGGAAGAGATGATGGATGCAATGATAATGTGCCGGTGGTAGGTCTGCATTCCATTGCAAAATTTGTGTCATGTGTTCACGCCCTACCAGGTCAATGTCGTCAACTGTACTGTTAATGTTTCGCACAATACAGTCAATAGCCCTGCTAAACATGCAGCCAAGATTCTTGGCCTGTTCGCTCGAAATGCTAGATGTCCAGTACCCAAGAGTCGTGACAACATCGGCTTCAGACACCATGACATCCAAAGTCACCTCGTATTCTGGTGGATCGTACGCTTCTAGACCGATGACAGAGATTGTGCTTTCATTTTCTTCAGCTCCCTCCTCGGATTTCTGGAAGGACAGGACGGTATTGAAGAGCGGTTGGCCAGCCAGCCCCAGCTCGTGCTGAATGTCCGCGAGTGGGTAGTGTTGGTGTTCCATGCCGAGAAGGAAGTCTCCTTGAACCTTTTGAAGGATTTTTAAGATGGATACATCATCTTCCAGTCCCAATCGCGATACGAGCATTGTTATGAAAGGACCAACCGCTCTATCGATATCGCGGATTGGGGCTTCCCTTCCAGACAGCAAGTAGCCGAAACAGACATCATTTCGCCCTGTGTGTGCTCGGAGCACGAGGCCCCAGGCTACATGGAAGATATTGGATAAGGTAAGATTATTTCGCTGGCAGAAGTCAAGCAGTACGCTAGCCTCGATGTTAATATTGACCTCCATCTCGAGGAACTGTGGATCCTTTGCAGATCCTTGAATCGAAGGCAAGCACGTCGGTTCGATATCTTTCAAATAATTCATCCAGTATTTGAGACCAGAACCTTTGGGAAGCGATCCCAAATACGAGATGTACTCACGGAATAGTGGCGCAGGTCGGTCAGGAGTCGTCCCGTCATAAGCCAGGATGAAGTCTTGAAGAATAATGGGCATAGAGCCTCCATCAATAACGGCATGATTGAATTCGAACTGACAAAAGACTCGACCCTCGTTTGTTTGGCACACGCTTAGTCGATTTGGCGGCTCAATGTCGGTGAATTCGATGGGAGCCTGGTTTTCAAACATGTTTCCGGGGTCGGCCCCGTCGATTTGGAATCTTGAGACCCTGCCGCGATAATCTTTGAGTACAACTTGATCATACACACCTTCTGTACTTACACTCGGAATAAATATAGTTCTCAGGACAGAGTGTCGCTGAACGACCTTCTCCCACGCACTCGCCAGCCGATCGAGGTCAACTGGATCGGCAGACCTCGACACAATCTCAGCCGTATGCCGATATTTATATACACCGGTAGATTTACTCTGACTGATCAGCAAACCTTGCTGCATGGGAGAGCAAGGGTAGACGTCCTGCACTTCCTCAAATGATATACCGATCTGAGGGAGAAGGTCATTCGAGAGCCTCTCTAGCCCCTTGTATGACATTTTGAGCATTGGGAAGTCACTCAAGGTATGCTGAAATCTTGTCTTTGACAATTGGTCAATGCACTTGGCAAAAGAATCCGGAAGAGACGCGATCCACTCTTTCAATTTTAGCATATTCTTCATATTGTGGTTGTAAACGAAAGAGAATTGCATCTGATTACTGATCATCTCGGCAGTGATCTCAATCAGTGCAAAACGCCGGACGTTTGGACCAATATCGGATGTGTTTGCCGTCATGGTACGAGGTTCTTGGCGGAGCAACGCGTCCGGTTTCTCCAGTTGTTGATACAGGCCGAGATAGTCAAAACAGATCTCTACCTGAGAGTGATCGGCGAAAGCCTCCATGCCCTCCTGGTTCAGGAATCTGGAGGCAAAATAAGGACGCCCGTTGGCTGGAATAGCGTGACGATTGTCCTTGATTTGACGTGTGAATTCCACAATATCGTCTTCAAAGCCAGCGCTGGTGCATAGCGGAAACATTGTCGTGAACCAACCCACAGTCTCAGAAATGTCAATCTCGTCCGTCCAAGACTCTCTTCCGTGGCTCTCTCGGAAGAATGCAGGTGTGGCGCGATCGTTGAAGACGTGAGCAAAAGAATACATCAAAATCGATAGGATCAGGTCAATAGGCTCAGTGCGAAGCGCTGCGTGACACTGGCTTCCCATGAGAGACTTGGTCAAGTCTAGACTTAGTTTGACCGTATCTTCAGAAGTATCCGAAATGAAGTTCTTTTGATATTCCATTCCCCAATATTGCATATCAGGTGGTGCGACACTGAAAGGGAGAACTTTGCTAGGACTTCCATGGTCTCTGGCGTTATCAGCTTGCAGTTGAAGCCATTTCTGGTAAGGCAATGATACATGGTTGGCAATCCCCCGGGTTGTTAATGCGTCTTCAAGGTCTTTCATGACGACACGCCACGATACCAAGTCAATGATGGCATGGTGAGCAACGAGAAACAGAAACTGACCCTTGCTCTCGACGTTAAAGACATGCGCAGCGAAGACTGGTCCGCGGATGAGATCCACAGATGATTGCGCATCTTCAATAATGGCATCAATATCTTTGACTGCGATGAGATCATGGACCAGGAAATTGTATGTGCCCTGCACCTGTTTTAAAATCACTTGCTGCCAGGTTCCGTGTTCACCCTCGACAAATCGGGCACGAAGCATGGAATGTTTGGCGACTACCATTTGGAATCCCTTGCGCAGCTCCTCAACTTCTGTTTGCCGAGTGATGTTGAGGAAGAAACTTTGGTTATAGCGTGTGGAAGATCCATTGGAGGCCAAAGGGGTGGTGGCGACGTACATTCGCTGCACGGGGGAGAGGTCAAAGGGCGTATCGAAGCTCTCCTCGTGGTCATGTGCCGAATTTGTAACATTAACCACACGTAGTGCCAGTTCCGAGATGCCCTTCAGAGCAATGATATCTTTGACGGTGATGGCCATCCCTCTTGACCTGCATCGTGAAACGACCTGCATGGCCGAAATGGAGTCTCCACCAAGGCTCAGGAACGATCGGTCGAGTGGGATTCGGCTGAGTGTCAGGTTAAGAACGTCGCTATATACGAGCTGCAGTTGCGTCTCGTTTTCTGTCATTTCTGTTGCCCCTTGACCCTGTGACTGAACTCCGACAACTCTGTCGTATGTTTCATCATCCATCTCGGCGATCCACTTTGACACTTGACTCCTAGCCATCTTGCCTGAGAGCATGAGCGGGATTGCTTCGACTATGATCCAAGTTTCAGGAACCATATAATGAGGCACATGCCGGCTAAGCTGCTCTTTAATGTCTGCAACCTGTTCACTCGCACGTTCTCGGGCTTCTTCTGGGATCAACCGAACATCAGAAGTTTTAGAAGTGTCTGGCAGGAAATCTTTGAGTGAGAGGGCGACAACAAGGCGCTCTTTACAAGGGCCAGTCTTTGGTAATACGACGATGGCGTGCTGCGTAAGTCCATGCATCGATATATGATGCTCGATCTCGCCCAGCTCGATGCGTAGGCCTCGTAGCTTCACTTGGGTGTCTTTACGACCGATGAAGTGAATTGTACCATCAGTGTTGTATCGTGCCAAATCTCCCGTTTTGTATAATCGTCTAGAAGCTCCTTGTTCTGTGATAGGTCCCCAATGCGGCCCTGTAACAAATACCTCTGCCGTTTTTTCAGGCGCATTCAGATATCCTCTGGCAACAATTGGTCCTTCAATTAACAACTCTCCGACGCAGCCAACCGGGACCAACTTGTTGTGATCTTCAGCATTCACAATCCAGCAGAGACCACCAACTGCACGTCCGATGTTGGAAGGACTCGTTGACGGGGTCAGGTTAGGGTTTCCGGCTGCAGCCACGGAGCATTCGCTGGGACCATAGCCATTTCCCAGTTGTACATGCTCGGCCCAAGTGTCTATATCAGATTTGGATAATGCCTCGCCGCCCAAAATTAGCGTTTTCAAATCAGGAACGTCTCTTGGATCAATGACTTTGACCAAAGATGGAGTCAAGAAGGCCCAGGTTATTTGAAACGTGTTGATGAGCTTGGCTACCCCCTCATTCATCGATGCTGCACTGGGCATGCATATACATGCTCCATGCATCAATGCCGTCATTATCTCCAACAGACTAACGTCGAAACTAAACGATGCCAGCTGAAGAACGCGACTCGACGAATCCATATTTGCCACCTCTGCCTGCGCTACGGCTCCGCTGCAGAAGGATGAATGCTCAACGACGCAAGCCTTGGGGCGGCCGGTGCTTCCCGAAGTAAAAATAATGTAAAGAATGTTATTTGGACGAACCGCGGTGACAGGAGGTTGAGTTTGGAGTGTCAGTGCATCGACGGACTGCGGCCCCAAGGGAACAACCTTGAGCCCCGAGTCTGTCCATTGGCCTGCTTGTGCAACCGAAGTCAAGACCAAAGTTGAAGCGATTTGACTGATGATATCATCGCGGCGGCCTTTTGGATGCGAAGGGTCAATGAAAGCAAACGCTCCACCAGCCTTCACCACGCCCAGCAACGCGACAATAGCCCATGCAGACTTCTCAAAGCAGAGGGGGACGATAACCTCGGGGCCGATACCCAAACCTGAAAGGTGATGGGCTAGGCGATTGGAATAATCCTCAAGCTGACGGTATGTCATGCATGCGTCCCAGCCGCAGATGGCGAGGGCATGCGGCTGCTGCTCAACCCGCGACTGTATGATGTGGTGCACGCATCTATCGATTACTCGAGGCTGCGTCTTGTTCCAACCCCAGATTGAAGCGAGGTCGCGGTCACTGATTAGCTCCAGGTCATTGAGCTTTTGATCTGGATGGAGGACGATGAGAGATATAGCTTTGGCGAATGTGGCGCCGATATTGACAGCCTCCTCCTCAGCAAGGGTGGACGTGGAAAAGCTGAGCGTCATCTTCAGCATGTTGTCCGAAGCCTGAACCAGTAAAACAATGTTTCCCTACAGCGACCAAGTTAGAAAGAATACTCTTTACACTGCTCCGACTCAGCACGGCTTAGGATACTAACAGTGTTCTGACTACTTCGGGGCACAGCTGCAACCACCTTTCCGGGTTGATGGACTTGGAACACAAGTTGACTGTCCGACAGCGATGAGCTATCCCTTGTTTCTGGACTCTTCTCAGCGTCAAAGGTCTTTGTTTGAAGAAGTTCAATATTTCTCAACAGGTTCAAGACCGAGACTGTTTCATCAAGGAGAAGCTGACAGGATGCCGGGGCCGCATCAACTCTGCCATCCTGTACCAACGACGAGAAGACAACATGGTCCAGACCGAGATATTTTCCAAGCACAAGTCCCCAGGCGGCTTTGAATATGGTATGCAATTGAAAACCATTTTCATGACAAAACCGCTGCAGAGATTCGACATTGTCGCTCAAGGCGACGCTCACTGACCGCCGCTGGCCTTGCAGAGCGTAAATACCATCCGTATGCGAGACGGCAGTGTGAAGGCTGCCAGTTTCTTGGAGATTTGTGCTCTTCAAGAGCAACGTTTCACCGACGGAGGCCATGAGTACGTTTTTTCTGAGATGTAGCTATTTGTTTTGAGTTGGAGGAATTACCTTGGGAAGTATCGGACAGAGGTTGTGAGAGGATGGCGTTGTTTTGGTATTGACCAACTATGAGGTATCTAGGTTTGAGCTTTGCCAAATCCGCGACGAATAATTTCTATTCTCTTTTAATGCTTTGTTGGTAACGACTTCACCTCATTTGCCTTCGGTGGACGCCCAAAGCTTGAGTCTTCCTTGAGTACTTGAAAGGGGGAGATTGTCGGGAAAACTGGCATAAATTCCAGTGGCAGGTATACTGGCGCGCGCTCAAATCGAATGTCCAAATGCCCAGAGAAACGGCTGCATTTGTTCCAAACCATCCAATAGCTTCTCATTCAAGTGATTTCATTTCTCCTGGGAGTTTGCCATACTTGCTGACAGGATGACTTATGCGTGACACCCACGTTGAGATTCTCACAAGTGCCTCGCGGTCCAAAAGGCACAGCTGAACGCTTACATTATTTCATCGGTTGCACGTCAAGTTGCTTTTGCCTGTCCCGTCAGCGGATACGTAGAATTGGTCAAAACTACATATGTAATGTAAGTGGTCCGCTCTCAGCCTCACACGACCCTTGTCACGCAAGCAACGTCAGCCATTTCCAGGGGGGCGTATGCATAATTACAACGAGGTGAGATCAACGGTGACGGGTACTCCGTATAGATCCACGGTAAGCACGGCAAGCTAGACATGCTGCGATCTACTAATGCCACACCCCCTTTGGTCGGACATGTCAGCGTACTTACCAAAGGACCACGGTAAAGTCGTGCGACATCTGCTGGGATCCAACACGGTTGGAAGACATGTATGGAGGAGGAGCTGAGTATGTGAATGCAGCTAGCGGTCCGTGTATGGTTCATTTCATTTCAGACCTACCGTCAGCCTTCCTCAGCCGCCTACCTCAAGACGTATGTACGTTTTGTCATTGAGAGGCCCCCGTATGCTCTGCGCAAGCGCAAACTTTCCATGATTTGGGGCTTAGAGATCAAGATGTGCCCAAGGTATTGATTCTACCAGCCTGAGAAGTTCCTAGAACGTCTATCGCCCTTCAAAGTAAACGCAGTCTGTTCGCCCACCCTAGACCAACGACCAGTTGTGATTCCGCAGGTCCCATGTGCCACCTCCATACGACAAGAGGACCCTGTGTGATTCTTGTCTGTTTTTGCCCGTTTCTTACTGCCTTGTGACTTGTCCGATTTTAACAACAACAACAAAGGCTCATCAGGCACAAGCAAACATTGTCGGCAGCAGCAAGGATGGCCTCGCTCGTCTTTCGTCGACTTCTTGGCCGCTCCGTGTCTGAAAGCTGCAGTATTGCCGTTGAGAATGATTTTGGACCAGTTGTCGAGGGATGTTTGGACAACTTCGACTTCACGCTTCTATTCGAAGAAGCCATCCTCTCAATAACCCCAATGGGCGTGACCATTCTCTTACTGCTTCATCGACTTCTGCATTTGCACAAGCAACCTCAAAAGGTCTACGCTGGAGGTTTATTGCAGAAAGCCAAACTGGTAATTCCCACTCTAAATTGCCTCGCTGCCATGAAAACACCGTCCCTCGCCGTAAGACCTCATCCACAGTCTAGTAGCTAACGCAAATTTGTCAAGGTTGCATTCGCTGTCTTGACAACAGTCCAGATAGCGCTCGTTGCCATTGCAGCTCTTCCCGGCACCCCGACTACGAAAGCGTCCCTGGCATGTGCTGTAGTCAATCTGCTGGGAACGGCCGTCTTGTGGGTTTCATCTCATCTCGAGCATGTGCGCTCGGTCCGGCCGTCTCTAATTCTGAACGCCTATTTCTTCTTTTCGCTTCTTTTTGACATTGTACGGACGCGGACCCTCTGGGCAATCTCGCGAAATGCCGCATTTGCCAGTGGCTTCTGCGTTTCCATTGGCCTGAAGATCGTTTGTTTGGTCCTCGAGGCCGTGGAGAAGCGAAGTATTCTTCTTCCCGAATATGCCAAGTATCCATCAGAAGCCACAGCCAGTTTTTTCAATCGCAATTTCTTCCTGTGGCTATGCCCAACCTTGATTCGAGGATTCAGCAGAGAGCTGGTCGTTACAGAGTTGGAGGCCAACGACAGGGCCCTTGACCCGAATACCCATCAGAGCAAGCTCCAGGCGCTTTGGCACAAGTGGAAGAGATGGAACAAGAAGATGTCTCACTCACTTCTGGTGACATATGCCGTTCACTTTCGATGGAAGCTCGCAGCCGCCGTCATTCCCCGACTCTGCCTCATAGGCTTCAAATTTGCGCAACCTTTTTTGGTTCAGTCGGCCGTTGTTTATCTCTCCGACCTGAATGGTGAACATTCAAGAAACTCGGGCTATGGGCTGATCGCCGCGTATGTAATTGTTTACATTGGAATTGCAGTAAGAGGAGCGGTTTTTTTTTTTGACTCGTGACGGACACAAACTCCGGTTCCACTTGATGATAGTCGACTGACAATTATTTTTCTTTCTAGGTCAGCGGTACGAAAGCACAGCACAAAGCGTTTCGTCTCATCACAATGATCAGAGGAACTTTAATTAGTCAGATTTTCGATCATACTCTCAAACTCAGCACCTCGTCTTTAAATGAGTCCCAAGCCGTTACGCTTATGAGTTCTGATATCGAGAGGATCGGCACAGGATTGCGCAACGTGCATGAAATTTGGGCTTGTATCATTGAGATAGCACTGGCTATGTGGCTACTCCAAGGTCAACTCGGAATATCGATTATAGCGACTGGACTCGTAACTTTATGTATGTGCTTGCCTCTCTCCAGCCCCGAGTAAAAGTAGCTCTGATCTGACATGGTATAGTCTGTACTGGTGGCGCGGTCTGGGTGGCAAAAAGTGCTGGAGATCGTCAAAGCGTCTGGCTTGAAGCAATTCAAAGGCGAGTACATGCAACGGCAAATATGCTCGGCTCGATGAGAGGCGTGAAGATGTCCGGTCTCACCAATGACTTGTCCGCCAATATTCGAAAATTGCGACTCGAGGAAATTAGTTCTTCATACGAGTTCAGAAGACTGCTTGTGCGCGTCGTGAATCTATGTGAGTAGCTAAGAAATCCGCTGGGGGGTTGGTATGGCATATTGACGATTGCAAAATAGCTTTCATGTCAACCGCTATGACTCCTGTCATTACGTTCCTCGTCTTTAGCATTTTGGCCAAAGTCAACAACTCTCAAACACTGACTCCAGAGATTCTATTTCCCGCCTTGACACTGTTTGAACTCCTCGCTTCTCCTGTTTCCGTACTAATTGAAACCCTTGGAGGTGTCATGTCTGCGGTCGGTTCCTTCCAGCGAATCGGCGAGTATCTCGCGAAGGAAGTACAAGTTGATAGCAGGAACAACGTCACCTATGACAAACATGAGTCCTTTGGACTCGAAATGCCGCCAATTATCCCCAGGTCAATCATCTCGACGGGAAGACGGGAGTTGGAAAACTGCATCGAGGTGGTCAAACTAAGTGTTGGCTTTGGCAACGCTGAGGCGCCGGTTTTGAAGGAGCTTAATTTCGAGATCAAGACTTCACAAATCGCTATGATTATTGGCCCAGTGGGATGCGGCAAGTCAACATTGATTCATGCATTACTTGGTGAAATACCGAAGACTTCCGGTTCAATCCACATAGCATTTCAAGAGGCGGCGTACTGCAGCCAGACAGCCTGGATCACGAATGGGACGGTACGCCAGAATATTCTGGGGGAACTGGAGATGGATGAAGCCTGGTACAACACTGTCATTCATGTGTGCGCTCTAGATACCGATCTGCAACAGTTCCATGGATCTGATCTGTCCATGGTGGGAAGCAAAGGCGTTAGGTTGAGCGGAGGCCAACAGATGCGTCTGGTGAGTTTAACCACTCGCTTCTGGGGATATCTTACTGACTTGTCTAGGCACTTGCAAGGGCACTCTACTCGCGCAAAACAGTCATTTTCCTTGATGACATCTTTAGTGGCCTGGACTCAACTACGGAAGAGAAGATATTTGCACGACTCTTCAGCCACGATGGCCTCTTCCGGAAACAAAGGACAACAGTTATCATGGCAACCAATGCTGGTGAGCTCCTGGGTCATCGCAGCAACGTCAAGACTCATCTTCTAAATCAAAGCTGTTTAGTTCACCGCCTGTCCGTCGCAGACCACATCATTGCCCTCAGCAGTGACGGCCGAATGCTCGAGCAGGGCAGCTTCGAACAGTTGCATGCTACTGGTGCATACACGCGCGCGCTGCCACCATCGAAACGCAAGACGGCGTCTGCCGGAAGCCACATGACAACCCAGATCAATACAGAGTTGTCAAGTGCAATAGCCCCAGAAGTGCCAAAAGGCATGCAAAGACGTATCGGCGATGGAACAGTATATAACTACTACATAGCCACTTTCGGCTGGTACAAGTGGTCGATTCTTATGTTCTTCGCTGCGTGCTACGGTCTGTTGACAGTCTTTCCTCGTAAGTGAAAGCGAAAGTGAAAGAGAATAGACCGTCTCAATTTTGCTGTATACTGACCAGGATGTTTGCAGAGGTTTGGGTTAATTGGTGGGCAACGGCAAACATGAAGCAGCCGAGTTCACAGCTTGGATACTATATTGGCATCTACGCCGCCCTCAGCATTCTGTCTGTTCTAGCACTTTTTGCATCTTGCTGGTAGGTTTTCTCATCGCGGAGTAAGACGGGTGGACTAAACAAGCTGACAAAATGCTTTAAGGCATCTCATCATCAACTTGGTCCCAAAAACGGCCCTGAAAGTACACGACACTCTACTTCGGACAGTTCTCAAGTGCGCGTCCTCAACCCCCGAAGCCGTCATCTTTGCTAACCAGAAAACAAATTCTACAGTGCGCCCATGTCATTTTTCGCCAAGACCGACACTGGGGTCACACTCAACAGATTCAGTCAAGACCTGGAGCTCATTGACATGGAACTCCCTCTATCAGTCATCAATACCGTCATAAGTAAGCGCCCCTGTCTTATCCGTATTGCCTTACTATTGCCTACTATTGCCCTACTAACTTTGATCCAACAGTTTTTGCAGTCATCATCGCCCAAAGCGTTTTAATCTCCGTGACTGGCCGCTACGTTGCTGCCGTTCTTCCATTGTGTGTTGGCATAGTCTATGCCGTACAAAAGTATTACCTCCGCACCTCGCGCCAGCTGCGGTTACTCGACATCGAAGCCAAATCGCCTCTGTTTTCACACTTTCTAGAAGCCCTTGCGGGGCTGGCTACCATTCGCGCGTTTGGCTGGCAAAATGGATATCTGGAGGAGAGCAAGCGCATCCTAGAGTTATCACAACGTCCTTACTATATGTTGTTCTGCGTGCAAAGATGGTTGGGCTTGGTTCTCGATCTCATCGTCACCGGCATTGCCGTGGTGCTTGTGTCGATTGGCGTTGAGGCCAAAGGTGTGGTTGACACGGGGCTGATGGGGCTGGCGCTGGTGAACATTGTCAGTTTCAGTACGAATTTGAAGTTCCTGGTGACGAACTGGACATTACTGGAGACATCTATCGGTGCCATTTCGCGCGTCCGCAGCTTTGAGCAGGGCACCGAGTCGGAGAACAATGACGAGGGGCGGCAAGGACAACCGCCGAGCGATTGGCCGAGCGTTGGTGCAATTACTTTTGAAGGCGTGACGGCGCGGTTTGAGTAAGCATCTTGAACGACGATTCTACTTTGAGATGCTGACACTATGCGTGGTAGTCAATCACTAGAAAAGAATGTTCTCCGTGACGTGTGCTTGAGAATCGAAGGAGGGCAACGCATCGGCATTTGCGGGCGAAGCGGCAGGTTCGTGATGACCCTATTTTCATCTCTTTCCACTGCACCGAGATGAATGCTGAGCTTGTGTTTTGCAGTGGAAAGTCTTCTCTAGTTTCCACTCTATTCCGCCTCCTGGACCCCCATGCCGGCCGCATCACCATCGACTCCATCGACATTTCCACCCTCGCACGGCATGAAGTGCGATCGCGTCTCATCGCCATCCCCCAAGAACCTTACCTGCTCACAGGCACGATCCGTGTAAACGTGGATCCATTCGGCCGAGCATCAGATGAGGAGATAATCCGAGTCCTCGAGACAGTCGGATTGTGGAAGTTGGTCCAGGAGAAAGGTGGCCTCGACGCGATGATGACTGAAGGGTTATTCTCCCACGGCCAGCGCCAGCTTGTGTGTCTTGCGCGCGCTATGACGAGAGAGAGTTGTGTGCTCGTTATGGATGAGGCGAGTAGCAGGTATGTTTGCCGACTTGTCCTTTCGCGATTTCTGTTATATTGGGTCCTTCTTCTCGACTAGTTCCCTATTGTGTTTGTAAATTATAACTATTCCTCTCCACCTCTGTTCCCAAATGAAACCAAGAGACCAGGAAAAACTTCTTTTGCTAACGGACATTTCGCTGCAACAGTCTTGACGTCAAAATGGATGCTCTTTTTCAGCAAGTTATCCGCTCCGAGTTTGCAAAGCACACGATTATAGCAGTAGCGCACCGCCTCGACACCGTGGTGGACTTTGATTACGTTGCTGTGCTCGATGAGGGAGTGGTGGTAGAGTTCGATGCGCCAGAGGAGTTGCTCAAGCGCCCATCGGCGTTTCGAGAGCTTTACGAAGCACAGAAGGGGGAAATGATGAAAGAGGATGAGGAGGTATCAGATTCGACTACTGCGAATGAGAAATGGGGATGGATGTGGGAATAATACACTCGAGGACTTGATGGCGTTCCGGGCAAGTCGGTCGAGGGCGTCGCGGTACTCTGCGGGGTTCAATTCTAATATCATCTTGTAGTATGTTCCAATTAAGTTTTTTGTTCGTCTTCACTTGCAGAACTTTGGAGTTACGATTTGGGTGGCACATATGCTTCTCCCCTTGGTAGTCTACATGACAACTAATCTTGAGCCCATCGGCTAGGAATTGAAATGTATGCAGTTATGTATGTGCTAAACACTCTGATCTCTTAGTCTAACCTGAAGTCCGTCGGTCTTTCTCCCGTCTCCCGTCTCTCGTCAGAGAGCGGCTCTCAATGCACTCATCTGATTCAGAGACAAAGCAATACGCATGCCCTCCATGTTCTTCCGGCTTAATTCGTCTTCGGAATCCAGACTCAATATCTTTCTGCGTCGTAACATTGTCTCCGGAGCGACTGTTTTCCTACCCTCTTTGAAACAATACTTGGAGACGACTGCGGCGATGACGACAGAGCGAGCAATTTCTTCAAGGGCTTTCTCATCTTGATCACGGCCGTCTCGAGCGGTGGATAGTCGATGACTGCCCCCGGGTACTAGAAAGTAACTGGCTACGTACAGCCACTTCTCATCCCAAGATAAAATTTGCGACTGCAACTCGTATTTTTGAAGCGGGGAAATGGCCTTGAAGAAGGTACAGGCAACGCCTCCCAAGGCGAGCTTCACTTTCGCGCCGCCTAGCTGGAGACAGTCGGGGAAGACTCGAGCCAAAACACGTAGGCGGCTTTCGTCCAAGTCAGAGAAGTAACTGGAGTTTGTTTTGTGTAGGTTCATGTCGATCTCCATGAGGGGGCACCAGGTGGTGAGAACTTCTGGCTTGAATAGAGATTGATGATCATGAAGCTTAGCACGGTTTCTCCACACAAGAACAGAGTATAGAGAACGTATCTGACACAAATGAGCATGTTAGCACTGGGTACACCTATAACCGTCAGGCATGCAAATGAAGACAGTGGCCTTGCAGGATGAACAAGGCGCTCAGAATCGCGCGTGTGAGAAAACTGAGTGATTGGCACCTACATGATACATGCCGGGAAGGCACTTGAGGTTGGGCCCGAATATTGCTGTGGTCACAGTCAGGCCGACAGCCACACCGGCGAGGCAGGTTAATGAAATGAGGCTCATGATGATGTGGAGAACCAGCCAAGTCGGGGAATTGTAACAAGGAAGATGCAGTCTTGATCTTCGAATTCTCACTTGTGCAGAAGACTCAGTTTAAGCTGCCGTGGCGCGGGAGGAGAGCACAGTGTTCTCTGTGCGGGTATCGTTTTACAATGCCGAAGATAGAAGTGTGTTGAATGAGTGCCACGACTCAGTAGACTCTTGACTGAGTCGTGTGCCCGTCTTGCTGCCTCGATTCGGGTGATTCGCCGAAAGCCCGTCTCGATTTATCGGTATGGAAATACGGAAACACAACGATCCTGCTGTCCTTCTGTTGCCAAGTGCCTACCAATTATGATGGATATTGTGGAGGGCGCAGACGAGGCAGCGAGCTATAATTGCTCCGCAGTCTTTGCACTAACACAGCAAGCGGGCAGGGAGGCGGCGTTCCTTGTTTCCGATATTCTCGAAAAGAGGATATTCGAGACGTGGAATGCGGTTATTGCGGCCCGGATTTTTCAACCAACTGCAGCTGACGCTAAGAAACACAGCGTCATCATTTGCTTTGCAGGGTTCGTAAAAGCACCCTAGTATGACGAGCCCACGAATGAGTTGACTAGAGGCACACAGCTGAAGTTCAAATCTGTGCCTTGCTTATGCCACGTGCAAACCTCGTGGTGTCTTACTCCCACGTCGCATTGGTAAGCTAGGCACACCCCTCCCATGTAGGGGTCGAGTAAGCAGCCGGATGGCCTGAATGCTAGCAGAGAGGTCAACTGGTCAACGCTAACAGGCTCCAGTTCACCCGTTTCACGCCCCCCTGACGAGCGGGTGTGAGTGGTCCATGCAGTTGATGACTACCAAGCGTTTCCTCCGATATCTGAATCCTTTCTGTATGCTCACAGCCTAGTACTCGTTTGTTGGCAGCTAATGTATACTAGCCCGGAACCATCGAGTCTATTCTTATCAACGAATGCGTTTGTTCTAATGCAATATCCACATCTCGCTCCTACACGTGGGACATAATGTACCAGACGTGCGGCTAGGTTCTTCTAGTGTGCAGGCCGCATCGTCAGCATGACTGAAGGAGCACCCCGGCCAGCATCGTCCATGGATCGTGAGCCGGTAGATGCTGAGGATACGGGCGACAAGATTTGGAATATACAAATGAAAGACATTGTGACGCTGTGGTTATTTAACGCAGCATGCGAGTGGGTCCGTAATACTTCAAACTGCTGCCGTCGTATTTTTTGTACGAAATAATCTCTGTCCCCCAGACTGGTGTCTTGTTGGAGTCACGAACCAATACTATGCCCAGGCCAGACATCTCCTAGACGAAGTGTGTGTGGCATTGTCTTGTTAGGGAAACCTCTCCATAGTTCTTTTCTGGCATACCTCCCCAAGTCGTTCTTTCGCCGTTTGTACAACTGTGGCATACTTGTCTACAAATGGATGTCTCAGCTGCAACAACAGAACCTGCAACACCTTTCTGGAGTTCCACGGATACGGCAACGGCGTCAGAGAATACGGATTCCTCCCCAAGTTCACTCATCGTTATTGATCCATCAAAGGGCTCAAAATATATCACGATCGAGAATGGCGATTTTAACTATGGATGGAATGTTCCCGAATCTCATTATGGCTACTTGTCACGTTCAAAAGAACAATTTCTGGCAACAATAAGCGCTGGTGACGAGGAAGAAACGTCATTGTTGTCAAATGTCGAGTTGGCTTCCAGATTCCTGCTCCATCTGATAGAGCAAGATGAGCTTGACGGGGGTAAAACGTCCTTGAAAGCTCGAGAGGAATGTATCGAAACTCTCTTGTGGAGACTGGAAACAGATTTTCTCCGAGGTGCAGATATTCACACGTTTGCATGTCAGCTGCCAGGGAATGCAAAGCAGCGACAAGTTGTCATTCAAGCATACACGGCCGCAATGGTTTGCACAAAGCGCCAGTATAATCGAGCAGAGCTGGAAACTGCCCTGTTCCCCTCCTCCGCGGGGCAAACCACAAATACATATGCCATTTTCGGCGGTCAAGGCAACACCCTGGATTATTTCGGGGAGCTGCGGACTGTGTTCAAGACATACAGGCCTCTTGTTGAGGGTCTTCTAATTGTGGCTGAGCAGACCTTCCAGGACCTGCTAGCAAACGCTTCCACCGCGCGAGCGGGACAATACTATCGAGGCATGGCAATCACGCAATGGCTTCGTGAGCCAATATCGACGCCGGATCAAGACTATCTCCTCTCGGCTCCTGTCAGCTGCCCATTGATTGGCCTGCTCCAGCTCGTGAACTTTGCCGTCATCTGTCGCTGTCTCGGCAAATTGCCTGGAGATATTCTACATCATCTGTCTGGTATGACTGGTCATAGCCAAGGCGTCGCAGTGGCCGCAGTTCTCGCAACAGTGACGGCTTGGGACGGCTTCGATGCCGCTCTTGTCAAAGCTTTGACCATACTGTTTCACGTTGGATCTGCTGCCCAAGAGGCAACTTGCCAACCCACAATACCTTCAAGTATCTCGGCAGAATCTGTAAAGAATGGCATGGGATTTCCCTCCCCTATGCTGAATGTCGTTGGATGTCGCCTTGAGCAGCTAGAAACCTACATCACAGACCTGAACAGTCGCCTAGAGCCCAATCAACGCGTTTTCATAGGCCTCAAAAATGGTCTATTAAATTTTGTCATCTCGGGGCCCGTGTTGTCTCTGTACAGCCTATGTTCGACGCTGCGCAAGGTCAAGGCTGCCCCTGGCACAGATCAATCCAAGATTAGGTTCTCCGCCCGAAAACCTGACTTTTCGTATCGATTCTTGCCTGTCTCTGCGCCATTTCACACATCACATCTCCATAGGGCACAAGAAGCGGCTCTCCAAGAACTCGACACACTACAGCTCGCCGCGTCTGAGCTGAAACTGCCGGTCTATCACAGCAGCAGTGGAATAGACATTAGGACTCTCAAGACGCAAAACATTGTTCCTGATTTAGTTCGAATGATTCTTTGCGAGCTGAACGACTGGCCGTTGTCGACGGCCTTCACCAATGCCACACACGTTCTCGATTTCGGCCCAGGTGGCCTCTCGGGCGTTGGAATGATCTTGCACCGCAACCAAGAAGGGAAAGGCGTCAGGGTAATCATGGCAGGCCTAGCGGAGGGTAAGTCCACCGAATGCGGTTATCGATCAGAGATATTTGCCAAAAAGGCCACTTTCAGTGAGGATTGGAGCCAAGTCTACTCGCCAAGCCTCATCCAACCAACAACGGCCAAGATGCAAATTGAGAACCGAATGACTCGACTTTTGGGACTCCCGCCTGTAATGGTAGCCGGAATGACACCGACTACCTCATCTTGGGAGTTTGTTAGTGCGGTCATGAACTCGGGATACCACGTCGAACTGGCTGCGGGCGGCTTCCACAACGCTGAGCAATTGACAACCGCAATTGACAGTCTAATCCATTCTATTCCAGCTGGTAGAGGAATATGCGTCAACATTATTTACGCCAGTCCGAAGCAGGTTCGATGGCAGATTCCATTGCTGCAGAGACTATGTTCCGAAGGCTTCCCTATTGACGGACTCACTTTCGGTGCCGGAGTTCCGTCTGTTGAAGTTGCAAGGGAATACATGGCGATGGGATTTCAGTATTTGTCTTTCAAACCGGGCTCCGCATTTGATATTGATCAAGTCATTGCCATTGCCCGGCTAGACGAGAGCTACCCCATACTGATGCAATGGACAGGTGGTCGAGGAGGGGGCCACCATTCCTTCGAAGATTTCCATGATCCCATACTGAAGCTATACGCGCGGGTGAGGCGATGCCCTAATATCATCTTACTAGCTGGGAGCGGGTTTGGCGGAGCTGGAGATACCTATCCATATCTCTCAGGCACTTGGTCCATGTCGTTTGGACGCCCTGCGATGCCATTTGATGGCATACTTCTTGGAAGCCGCATGATGGTTGCTAAGGAGGCCAAGACCAGTCGAGGCTGCAAAGAGGCCATTGTCGCGGCTCCTGGAGTGAAGGATGAATCGTCCTGGGAACAGAGCTACAAACAGCCAACAGGAGGCATAGTCACCGTGAAGAGCGAGATGGGCCAACCAATTCACAAAATAGCAACCAGAGGTGTCCTTTTCTGGAAAGAAATGGACGACAAAATCTTCAGCATTTCTGACAGGCCCAAGAGACGCGAAAAACTCCGAGAGATGAGGCCATACATCATTCAGAAGCTTAATAGTGACTTTCAAAAAGTTTGGTTCGGGCGTGACGACAAGGGAAATTCTATAGACCTGGAGGACATGACGTATGCCCAAGTACTTCGACGGCTCGTGCAGCTGCTCTACGTGGCCAAAGAGTCGCGATGGATTGATGTGAGCTACATGAAGTTGGCAGCAGACTTTTCAAGGCGCATGTACAGCCGGCTACTGCGATCTAGTCCTAGTATCGAAACAGATTTCGGTCTTAGAGACCCGCAAAAGGCAGTGCCAAATATCATCTCCCAATGCCCAAAGGCGGAAACACAGGTCATCAGTTACAGCGATGCGCGGTATCTCGTGCTACTGTGTAAACTCCCGGGTCAGAAACCTCCGCCTTTTCTGCTCGACATGGATGACGACTTTGAAGTGTGGTTCAAGAAAGACTCACTGTGGCAGTCGGAGGACTTGGCTGCCGTTGTGGGCGAGGATGCTGGCCGAACTTGCATCTTGCAAGGACCAGTGGCAGCAAGGTACTCAACCCGTATCGATGAACCTGTCAGTGAGATATTGGACTCAATCAACCGCGGCCTGATTTCGAATATCATCAAAGACCGCTACGGCGATGACATGGCTTGCATTCCTCAGTCTCGGGCGAGTTCGACCGTGCCTTGGACTGCTCCATTCACACCTCGTCATTGCTTCATTCAATATGATGGCAAGAAGACTCGCTATCATCTTGCGAAGTCAATCGGAAACGAGCAGTTGCCTGATACTGAAAAATGGCTGCAAATGATTGCCGGATGTTCCGGAACTTGGCTACACACACTCCTCACTTCCAGTATCGTCTCGCAAGGCTCTAAGATTGTTGCCAATCCAATCCGCAGGGCACTTTCACCAACTAAGGGTATGCTTGTTGAAGTCACAGAAACCGGTAACCCTGAGGAAGCGGCCATAACTGTTTTTAACGTGAAGGCGGAAAGTGCATTGTCATCCTTTTCGAGGCCTTCTTTAAAAATTCGGAAAGAGAAGGATATCCTTGTGACATTTTATACGCACGAGACCGTCGACCGGGCTATCGTCTCAGTGACATTCAAATTCACATATCATCCGGAAATGCCACTGCACCCAATACATGAGATTATGGAAGGGCGAAACGATAGACTTCGCACTCTCTACTACCAACTGTGGTTCGGCGCAGATGAGGCTGATCGGTGTCTATCAACGCATGGCAAGCGGCGGCCTTCAATTTCATGTCTTCAACCATGTGCCTCCAGTCTAAGGAATACCGAGCCCGAAACTCCGATATCTTTGCAAGCTGGCTTTCCATCCCAGCTTCATTGCATAGAAAGGAACACATTTTTGGAGCTGAGTGATGCGTCGTTCGGTGAGGCCTACTTGGCAAACTTTATTTTCAACAATTGCAGCTCGACTATTTCTTCTTCTGCGATACAAGCCTTCCTAAACAGTATTGGACATGAAAGGCACATGGCTTCACCATGTGGATTGAGTGAGGACACAGCACCTTTCGATTTTGCCATAGTGATAGCTTGGAAGTGTATGATAAAAGCCATCTTTCCTACCGCCATTCATGGAGATTTTATGAAGTTGGTTCATCTATCAAACGAGTTCAAGATTCTCGTTGACAGCGCACCGTTGAGAAGCCTTGATCGTGTCAACACCAAGGCCGAGATTCTGGCGATCCGCAATGAACCAGCCGGTCGTGTGGTCGAGGTTGGCGCAATCATCGAAAGGGACTCCATGCCAGTATTGGAGGTGATATCCCAATTTCTTTTCCGAGGCAGCTACACTGATCATGGTGTCTGCTTCGAGAAGAAGGTCGAATTTAAGATGTACATCATTCTAGACACCCCAGCCAAGATTACCGTGTTGAAGAATAAGCAGTGGTTCCAATTAGTCGACTCGGGGACGGATTTGTTAGGCAACACCATCATCTTCGAGCTGAAAAGCCTTACCCGCCCCGGCCAAGACTCCAATTGCCGCAGCGTCCTAACAGTCGGGCAGGTCTACCGTGAGCATGCAGTTACCAAAGCGCGCCAAATTATTGCCAATGTACACTATCAATGCGGTAAGACAATCGGCAACCAAGTCATCGACTATCTTGAGGGCCATGGGTCTTTTGTTGATGTGATAAAACGGAAGGAGAACCCTCAGCCGCTCGGAGATCAGGGCTCACTCCGCTTCACCTCCCCAGCAACTAATCACGATTATGCTTGTGCGTCTGGAGACTTTAACCCTATCCATGTCTCGGAGCCGTTTTCCAAGTATGCGAAACTGCCTGGCACAATCACACACGGCATGTATACCAGCGCTGCGGTGCGACGACTAGTCGAGAAGGCGGCTGGTGCCAATAAGAATGTTCGCATGCGGTCGTACAAGTGCACTTTTGTTGATATGGTTCTTCCAAGTACTCAACTAGAAGTGAGAGTCAGCCATGTGGCCACTAAGAACGGTCTGCGAGTACTCTCGTTCCACGCGATTAGTATGATAACGGGGCACAAGGTCCTCGTAGGTGAAGCTGAGGTTGATCAGCAGCCTTCAGCATATATATTCACTGGACAAGGCAGCCAGACCCCAGGAATGGGCATGGATCTATACACCACATCTGAGATCGCCAGAGGAGTCTGGGACTCCGCGGACAAGTTCTTCTTCGAAACCTATGGTAAATCGCAGCCTACCTCCATAGTATTTGACTGACTTAAATGCTAATCATGGCTTAGGTTTTATGATTAGCGATATCGTGAAACGTAACCCAAAGCAGCTAACCATCCACTTTGGCGGCCAGCGCGGCCGGAAGATTCGACAGAACTACATGGACATGACAACCGATTGCAACGGCCAGTCGCGGCCAATATTCAAATCGATAACAGCAACTACGGCAAAGTACACTTTTCAACACAGCGCTGGGCTGCTTTACAGCACTGAATTCGCTCAGCCAGCTCTCACCATCTTGGGAAATGCTCAGTATCTCCACCTCAAATCCAATGGTTTTGTCGACCCCAACGCCGTTTTTGCCGGCCATTCGCTTGGAGAGTACACAGCGCTTAGTGCCATTGGTGCCATTATGCCATTCGAGCAGATTCTTTCCGTCGTCTTCTATCGCGGCCTGGTGATGCAGTCCAGCGTCATCCGCGACGCCAACGGATGCTCACACTTCTCGTTAATGGCTATTAACCCGTCGCGCATCAGACAAGGTTTGACCACGGAGTCCCTACAGGCCCTGGTTTCTGCCATCGCTGCTGCTACCGGTGACTTGCTAGAATTGGTCAACTTTAATGTAGCAGGGCAGCAGTATGTCGCTGCCGGGACACTCCCAGCCCTCGATTGCCTGACATGTGTGGCGAATTACATGGCTACACACCCAACGGAGCTTGAGCCGCCCTCTCACTTGGCCAAGAGCGCCAAGCTCCAAGCCGTTATAGCCATGTGGGCGGAAGGGGCTTCCAAGAGGCCAGGGCCTACGCAGCTGAAGCGTGGTCTCGCCACTATCCCGCTGAAGGGCATTGACGTGCCTTTCCACAGCTCGTTTCTGAGATCAGAGATTGATGTGTTTCGGAGCGTGCTTCATAGCTATATTAAGCCAGATGCCATCGATGCCCGACGACTTGTGGGCAAGTATGTAAGCAATGTAACAGGGAAACCATTTGACATTTCCTACAGTGCAATACGAGAGGTATATGAGCAGACAGGCAGTGAGATATTAAGGAGTTTATTAACTAAGTTATGAAAAATTCAATGTTAAGCATATCAAATATTTATTAATTAGGTTAATTAAGATAATAAAAAAAAAAAAAAAAAAAAAAAAAAAAAATCAGCCAGACAATCATGTAAGACATCTTGTAACACCAGATATCAAAATATTAATAAAAATGGGATTATTAAGAGGAGTGTGATACATATAACAGTAAATATACATTAATCTCTGTGTATTATATATATTTATAGTTTACAAGTCCCGAAAGCCCTATTTTTTTCTTCCAAGCCTTACACTTCCCACTACGCAAAGAAAAAGTTACTTACCTTAGTTAAGGCGGTGAGGTATTCGTCGTTCCTTCCTGGAATAGCTACCCAGGTGGTGATGCCATGGTTAGAAAGCACATGACTACACGCCACCTCTGACGGCTTAGGCCCACACCGCTGCTATTTGCCAGTTGGAGTTTCTAGCATTTCATCTTCCTTTAGACTCTACCTAACCCAAGTCTATGCCTTGATTACCTAGGTGCTGAGCGTAGATCTACCTCTTATTCAGGATCTACCCATCTTGACTGACTCTACGTCTTTGCCTCTATTACTCCCAGTTAGTATCTGCGACGCTGATATAATCGCCAAGCCTAACTGCACTACTATTCCCGCGTATATTCTTGTTGTTCACATCCTCTGCGTCACCGTCTCGAGCCTATCGTTAGTATCACACCTCCTCTCCAAAAAGGGTTCTCTCAGCGTCCCCAACAGTTCCCAGAAAACGTAATCCACTGCAAATACGGTGATGGGTATTCCGGAGGGAGAGATGGGGAGACAGTTATGTGGCTAGCGCTTCAAGATGGTTTGAAGGTAACGGGTGCTGACGCGGCAGCTGTCATTTACGAGGTGAACGAAAATATGGTCCTCAAAGCTTGCAAGGCATACCAGCGTCCTCCCAGAGTTGCTTCGCGTCGGGATTGGTGGCACTACTCCGATTCAACGCTCTTCAGTCTTCATCTTGGTCGGCAAAAAAAAAAAGTCCTTCGACTACTAGAGAAGCAACCCCATCCGAACATTGCCGAGGTTATCGATATAGACGAAGATGAGGGTATATATCTCCAAACATACCTCACCTTATCCCAGATTGAACTCCCTACTCAACATGGTCGTATATTGTGGTATTAGGATCTTCTCCGTGGCCTTAATCATCTGCATAGTCTCGGCATCTGTCACTCGGATTTGAGGCATGATAACATTCTCTTTAGTCGAAGTCGCCATCCCTGTGCCCTGCTCTGCGACTCCAGTATGGCAAGCACCTTCGGCGACTTGAATGCGATTGCAGGGGCCGACGAGGAGGTGCCGCGTACGGGGCTGGCTAGGACGGTCTCGGATGCTACGGATAGATTTGCCACGCTCGTCTAACTGCAGAACCAATATTTTTAAGGGATATGCTACGCCATAAGGTCAAACAATGGATACAGGAACGACTAAAGCAATATGACAATCTCCACTTTTGATCTAGTAGATAAACTGACATAGACAAGGATATGTGATCAATGCGCTGATAACACGCCATGACGAACTTGACAAGCTCGCACACCTCGATGGGAAGACAAATGGTGGTAGATTGAGTCATGGCATCGACTTCCCCGGCGAAGTTCAGCCCAGCAAGGTAACCGCATAGGATATTCAATGCCCGTTTGAGTCCCGCCGGCAATTGTGGGAGCTAGCCATAGGCACCTCGGGCCAGGGTTCTGGGTAGTTTTGTCCACACGGCTGCGGCTCGCGTCACACATCACTTTCCTGTGGCAGCAGCGATACACAAGTTGCAAACATGCTGGTAGTCGTCAAGTGCTATTTTATCCCCGGCTTTCTCTGCCACGTTGGCAAGGCCGCGGCCCTCATGCTGACTTGGCGTGTGTCGCGCTTTTGGCCAGGCCGGCCCACAAGTGTGTCAAGACAATGGAAACTATTGCCCCAGCACACTCTCATGTCTTGCTATGCACAATAATTCCTGAGCTATCAGTCCTCCCTAAACCGCGATCAACACGGTTCCTCAGTCATCCCTCGCCCATTAGCATCTTCTCTCCCTTCTCTACGCGACTCGCCGACCAGACACTCACCTTGTCCAGTCCAGCCTCAGGGCTCCCAGGCCGTGTCACCAGGCCAACGTAATGCCCATTATCACACCGCGGGCTTCCTTCCCGCCGGCCAACGGGGATATATACAGCGTTTTACGCCGTCATGGATCAGGTCAATACGGGAGACCTGCACCCGCTGCAAGGAGTGGTGGTTTACGGTTGGACTAAAGGCTGAGGTCTGCCACGCCTGCTTCTTGCGAGATAAGGGTAACAGAACACCCTTCCTCATATCCGCGGAGAAAGAAATAGACGCAGGAGACATTCTGGCCCATCTTCCAGAGCTGACACAAGTAAAAGAGATGACCATCGCTCGGTCCCATGTGCAGATGATGGTCACTGCTACCATGGCCATCAGTACCACTACTCAGGACACTGTGTAAGTTTTATACAGACCACGGTCAAGACGGTTAAAGTGCTGCCTAATCTGCCGTTTGAACTAGATATCGTGGTTTTACGACCCTCAGATCGGGTTGTCGAGAGTGATGGATCATACAGACACCAGGTCCGGTCCGATTTTCGGGTCCGTAAGGGGCGTGTAATCACCTGGCTACGGTTCTTAAAGGACCATCACCCGGATTACCGATTTATTACGGTTTCTATAGACCGCATTAACGCCCTCCTAGTCGATATAAGCATGTCTCCTCATTCTTTGTGTCCATCACCGACCCCGATCCAGGGGATGAGGTGCCGCATTAACTCCTCTTGGCCGACATACCACCTCTAAACTCACAATCCATGGTCCCAAATCTTGACATCACCACGACCGAGATAGGTTTAATCGTCCAAGGGATCACTGGCTGGAAGCTCCCACCTCTGCCCGCACCGTCGATTCGCATGACTCCTATGGCTGAGGCGTCGGGGAGGGATCGCATCTTTGCGATGGCCTGACGTTCATCTGGGATGGAGTCCAAGGGAACTCGCATATCGTCGCCCACTATCTGCTCATTCGTTTACGGGCCTTTGCGGCGCTCGTGTTACGCCCGCTCCTAGCACTTGAGGGTTTACCGATGCGTAGGACTGCTTTGAGTAGCAGGCCCGTGGTTGCGGCCACTCCCACGGCCTCTTCTGGATCCCAACCGCGCCTCCCCTCCACCAGGGGACGAACGAGTCCCGCGCTGCGTTTGCCTAGTATTGGGGTTCTGTAATCACGGAATCCCGACCACTTCCATTGCAACTGTATGTATTGTCCCATTATGTGGGATGTAAAGTACGAGTTACACCGGTACACATGGTGGGCGGTACGAGCCCTAATGTACACCCCACCTACCAATCCAGCCGAAGTGACTGGAATTGGTTGTGAAAATCGAACCTTGACAACTTCCGCCTACCCGTCAGCGACTAAGTGGACGAGCCACTTACTCGTCCACTTAGTCGCTGACGGGTACCTAATGCCCGGAATCCTGCTTCTCTCGCGCCGACAGATGTCGCCAACGCCGCAGAGCAGTTTACGGCATTTCTAAACTGCCTGGCCTCGAAATACATTTCGACTGTCTAACGCCGTACTGCTTACGAGCAAAGAAAGAGGAGGATGCACTCACCCGGTGTTTCTTCTTCCCGCAGCCTTTGTTTACGGCACTAGTTGTCACGAAAGCAATTAATCTCAAGGCGTGGCTGTTCTTGCCGGCCCTAAATCAAGGAACTCTTCACCAGTGTGCTCCCCCTCTTACGATGGGTTGGATATCGAATACTAATACTCAGCCACCGACGAGCCTACGTGTAGTGTTGCCGTAAAAGGTATTCTAGTAGACGTCGTATACCGAACTACAGGCCTAGGTCCTTGCCTATATGAATGACTGGGCGCCTCTACTCTTGTTTGTATCTAAGATGCTTAATAAGTTGATTGAAGAACGCGACTGGTCGGCCTAAGAGATATTGGGCATCCTCTTACAGATCCCTGTCCAAAATTACTCGCGTATGCTCGTGGGCTCGGACTGTCGCCCGGATAACGTCCAGGGTGCCCCGATTGTCCTTGAGTTAGGAGAGGTAACGGCCTGGCGTTTAGTACTACGAAGGTATTAAGACCGACTTGCGGACACGAAGCATAGAGATGCGACACTTATTAACCTCTCGCTTTTTAACTGTTTATAGCACTAGAATTTGCTAACGTGTAAGGTTTAGCCCTAAGCTAGCCTAAAAGTAATTAACTACTGCCCCCAGCACTTAAACGATCCGGAATTTCCCAGCTATTCGGACTACTACCGGGTGAGGCTAATGCTTTAACACCCATTTGTAGACTGGGACGACCTGTTAATGGTGGATAGCTGGGTGTATAGGTCCTATATTAATGTTTTTTGGGCTTGTTGCCGCTCGCATTCTCACCCGGAAGACAGCTATACGGATCCGGATCTGGAGTCTGGGGCGTCGGACGTGGAGAGCGATGAGGATTCCGAGGAAGAGGCGGAGAACCACCCCTGAGCGACCTTTGAAGCATTTGCTTGCCGGAGACCGCATGAATATTTCACTCATGTCGACCTGCTCGGTAGTCTAGGCTCCCGAAATATGGACCGTGACTACAATTGGTCCCCCCACGTCGGCCGTTACGACATATCCCCTGACATTTGGGAATAGGCCAAGGCCGAAAGCCGGATTGCACAAGTAGTTGCTATGGATTTATCACCCCTCCCTTTAAATTGAGAACAAAGGATCTTATACGCTGCTATCACTTCCTGATCGTTGACGAGAAGTCAATGGTTGTGATATCAAGATGCTTCACAGCTATCGAAGGAAAGCTGGGAACTCTTATGTACCCGTATTACGAACTAGCTCTCTTCGCACGAGGCTACGGCTTTTAACTCTACTCTACGGCTCTACTTTAAGACTGCGAAAGTAAGAGAGACGTACTTTAATAAGTTAGTAAAT